AAGCCCTAGCATTAATCGTTCAAAATTCATAGCCAAAGATAAAGTTTTTTCATAAGTACAGAAATGTTCAAGGTCAAAAGGTCAACGTTGTTGGTATCCATTGAAAGGTCTTAATACAAAAAATATATACACCCTGTATATGTCAAGGTTAAATGTCCTGTTATCTACTGTTCAATAGATATGGCCAAAGTAAAAGTTCAAAATTTTTGTGTAAAAGTGGGTCAAACTCCAAGGTCAAGATCAAAAGGTCAAATTTGGTGGTACCCATCTTATCACAAGGAATACACATGGGAAATATGAGTGCCGTAGCTCCACTAAATCAAAAGTTATGGGCAAGGTTAAAGTTTTTGCGGGCAAACAGACAAACAGACAGACAGCTAGACAGACGGACGGACACGACAAAAACTATATACCCCCGAAACTTCGTTTTTTATGCGCCCGAATCGATAGATCGGAGGGGTATATCGTTTTTGTCCTGTCTGTCTGTCTGTCTGTCTGTTTCTCTGTATGCAAACTTTAACCTTCGCCATAACTTTTAAACCATGAAAGATAGAGACTTCATATTTGGTATGCATACTCCACTAATTAAGCTCTTTCAAATGACACCAAAATCAATGACCTTGTGACCCTGACTGAGAAATATATGCTAAAAATAGCCTTTTTCTGCAAACTTTAACCTTTGCCATAACTTTTGAACCATAAGAGATAGAGACTTCATATTTGCTATGCTTACTCCACTAATCAAGCTCTTTTATATGACACGAAGTTCAATGACCTTGTGACCTTGACTGTGACATATATGCTAAAAATAGCTTTTTTATCGGCACACTTTAACCTTCACCGTAACTTTTTAACCATGATAGATAGAGACTTCATATTTGGTATGCATCCTCCACTTCTCAAGTTCTTTCAAATGACACCAAGGTCAATGACCTTGTACCTTGACTTTGACCTATATACTAAAAAAAGCGATTTCCGAACTTTGTTGCTGCCGGGCGCATAGTGTTTCACAAACACATCTTGTTTGTGGTAACTTTTTATCTTTATTCATGTAGAGCTGGGAAATGAGAAGATGTCAACATTCCAAAGAAAAGTATCAGCTAAAAATTCCACTTTGTACAGATTTTTCTTGTGTCCATTTTGAAACATCAAGTTGTTTTGGAAATTGAGAATCCAACAAGAATTAACATGCTGGTTTCTGATATTATATATGCAACTGTAAGTTCTTATTTTGTTTCGTTGAGAAATCATTCAGTTAAGATCTCCAATTGGTGTGTATACTTGGATTTTTGATTGTCTATTAGTCTAAGGGCAGACAACTGCAATCGATTGTTATTATCCTTCAATTTTGAAGAAGTTGATATTTACAACAGACAATAAATCCTTGATTACTTGTCGACTAAATGTGTTCAGTATTGCAATAGTCCTGAGGTAGGCAAATTGTAAATATATCTTCCAGTGTGTACGTATAAGTATTCCAGGGTACTAGATGACTTTTCAGCGGCAGATCCAGAAATCTTGAAAAGGGGGGAGACGACCAGTTTTGGTTCAGGGTAGGGGTCCACAAAACACACCAAAAAACATTGATTTATCAAATCTTGTGGTTTTTTTTTTGGACACAAAGTGGGGGGGGGGGCTGGGCCCCCTCTAAGTAGATACAAGTTTCACAGTTGTAAGAGGAACAATTTATTTTAATCACTGCTAGTCAATTGTCTTATCCATGACCTTATTCCTTTTTAACATTATTCACCATTTCATTTAAAAAAAAAATCATGTATAAATTAACTTTCGAATCAAGATTCAGCAATTAACATGTATTTCATTACCCTATTTTGTTCTTGTCAAATATATTTTAATAAAATGACATATTATACATTTATTGCATGGTAATGAGGGAAATATGAAGATTTATTCAGCCAAGAAAAATCATATTCGCCCGAGGGGAATATGATATTTCTTGGCTGAATAAATCTTCGTGTTTCCCGAACATTCATGCGATGAACTGTTTATTACACCGAAACATGCAAAAAATTTTTAATAAACAAAACTTTTCAGATTCGGCACCGCTCTTAAATTTACTTTCATTTACTTAAAGTTACTGAAACCCTCTGACACATCACACTCCAATGAAATATTCAGCAATTTTGTGACGTAAACCAGGCTTAATATTGTGACGTCAACTACTCTCTGGAGTTTTCGTTCAACGAACGTTAACATTTGCGGGAAAATGCAAGTCAAGTGTTCCGAAAAGGTGGAATATGATGAAAAGCGCGCCGACAACTGGGAAATATGAAGATTTATGGCCCTATCATGTGATAATCTAGAACCAATCAGATAACGCGTTGTATAGAATAATTATAATGAGGTATAATGATATACATTTATTTCATTGTAAGATTTATAAGATTAGTATTTAGCAAGGTTTTGTCCTGTCTCATGTTTCCTGTTTTATTTTTTTACACATAAGTATCACCAATTTTTGGTTTTGTCTTGAAGCTGTTCATGTCAACAACAACTCTCATTTGCCTTATGCTTTTGTCATTTCAATGCAGATATGTTAAATAAAATAGAGTGTTTCTGAAGGCAGTATCCATGTAAAGAGAATCTCACCTAATGTTAATGGTAATAAGAATATTGTTAACTGTTGGAAACATTTGAAATATATACAGTATATTTACAACATTGTTCTAAGTTTTTTTTTCCTTGAATGCAGTGACATTGTCCGATAGCTGTGAAATGTCTTAAGTTTTATGAGGCTTTTGCTGTATCTTTGTTTTCTGGACTGTTCAGCAGTTAGCTGATGCTAGAATGCCTTATTTATAAACGTCTATCGAAGGCTACATGTGGTAAAGTAGTTGATATTTTGAATTAAAAAATGATCATGAAATTTTTTCTCCTTAATTTTATCAATACTGAGAATGAAATCTACTATTCCAGATTTTTGTTAAGACGGGGTTTATGGAAATTCGGTCATTTATATCACTATCACAACATCTTAGTATCAAGGTTTGGGTCAAAATTTCGATGATGCGATGACACGATTGTGCATTGACGATGAAGCGATAGAGACGACACGATGGTGTGCTCACGATATGGCACGACATCAGTGAAGCGATGTTCGCCATCGCCCCACATCGTGCAGTTGCAATAGAGTATCAGTATTTACTCCTTGACGACTCGATACACTACTTGGGGAGGGATGACGACTCGATACACTACTTGGGGAGGGATGACGACTCGATACACTACTTGGGGAGGGACGCACACGAAACCAACATGCCTGGAAAGAAGTGAATATAATCAGTATCAAAATATTTTTCCGTTGAAGCAAAATTCTCATGAACTGGGCCTTCAGACCGGGGTGGGGGTAGGGGGTTAAATAAATCTTAAGTCTTTGGAGATGGAAGGGGCGATTTTCACAATTTCTTCAAAATTTTTAAGGTAATTTCGTTTGGATAGAAGATTGGGCTTCAAGAAATGTGCCGTCTATTGTGACTGCTGTCATGATAAGCAGTCTAACTACGCGGCTCCACCCGTATCATGTATATATATTTATATATATATATATATATATATATATATATATATATATATATATATATATATATATATATATATATATATATATATTATGTATATTACATACGGGGGAGCTAAATCGATTATTTTCTTCTCAAGAATTGGTATTAATCAAAGTCGCCAGCTGATTGACGGAGTATATTATTTATAAAGGTCAATAAAATCCTACTTGTCGGAGACCACATGAAATATCCATCGTGCATATTTTCACTACAAATCAATTTTTCTGTCATTGGTGAGAACTCAGGCTATGAATATTGGGCATTTAAAAATATTTACCCGTGTTTGTGGTATCGATGAAGGTTTCCCCCACCGCTAGGTGGCGGAGTTTTTAATCGTGTAGATATTATCTATACGGTGTCTCATTGTAAAGGTAAAACACACATCCAGGTCCGTCTTTACCGTGATATACTGATTACTTCAGGGGAGGGAACTGTTGATCCGTGCCCCTAAAACAATACCGAGGGAGGAAAACCCCGGAGAAACCGGACTCCTATCGATTACAAACGTGAGTAAACAAAACCTATTTTGTAACAGAATCACTGCTGTTATTTTACTTGTTATTTATTAAGTGTTAAACTTTGATTTAAAATACACGAGTCCTTAGCAACAAAACATTTAAATAACGATACAGATATTGATAAGCCATATGAGTATCATTTCGGAATATTTTTACAAGGAATTCAACAAACTGTTTTGATTAAAGGTAACTGAAGAGTAACGTGGATTTGTTTTCACTCAATTAAATAGTTCGTGTTCCAACACGCCGAGTACAAAATTTTAATACACTCTAAAACAAAAAGAAATAATAGAAGTTTTGTTAAGATTTACTAAAAAGTTTTCGAACTTCTCCATTGTGTTTGTAAGCCTGCCTAGCTGTAGGTTTCCTAAGATTAGAAGTGTCCCAGGAAATAACCAACTATAGCTATACCCAGGGTGATACCTGAACGGTGAAAATATATAAAGAACGGGATCCTATTTATTGCTTTCTTATCTGGATTTTCTGATTTTCATTAAGGTAAACTGATTAAGTTTAGTACTTTCTATATTCATCTATACATTTAAGCTACCTGGCATTTCAAAGCGACTTTTGTTGTAGCATCTGACTTGAATGCATTTTATGGCCTAGATTCTGAAAAAGAGACAGCCATTTACATACATCTTCTTTATTGAAAATAAGGATAGAAAATCATTTAATTCAAAAAGCGCCTTTTAAAAATTATGAATAAAAAAACTTCATCTTTGCAATCATCGGTCTTGTACATGTTGTAGTTGCAAGAACTGAAAACCGGATATCGACTTAAATTAAGCAATCAAACCTACAGATACATTCCCATTCATTTTTTGCTCATTAAAACTCTGGGTGGAGAAAATTACCAGTGTTATAATGAGGGTTATCTGATAGAGCTGACAATTAGTAAGGACTGCAGGCGGCGGCAATATTGATCACGTTATACCATCTCTGTAAAACAAATTGACTCAGACACGATTTTTTCACTGCATTGTTTCTATGACAGCGGTTTTCTGATGCAGTGTTGTCCCCGTGTTGTGTGGGAGACACTATAATATCTACAATCGACATCAGAGAAATCTGTGCAAACATTTTTTTTTAAAGTCAACTAAGCTCGGATTTGAGGGATAAGAGGTTCAGATTATTGACAGCTTCTAAATCCATAGGTCTCAAATTGATACGATTTGGTTTTCTTTCTAGAACAAGACCACAACTAGTGGAAACATGGAGAAGAAGAAGGAACTGCAAGATTTCAAGGTAAGCCAAGTAATCCGTGCTTCTATGAAGTGTCATCAGGTGAGAAAAGTTCAAAATACATTTAGTTCAATACTAAAAAATATTTAAATAAATATTTATGTCAATATTGTCATCGCTAAGGGACCAGGGTATTTTTCGCATCTAAATCAAACAGTTATTTTTTGTGATAACTTTCAACCTTTATTCACATAAAACTGGGAAATGACAGGATACTGACCAATTAATGAAATAGTCAAAAACGAACTTGATTTGCACTGTATAGTTGAAATACTTGCATTCGAAATATATATTTCATGGCATGAAATACGAAGAAAATGCACAATAATCATGCTCAAAAGTACGATGAAAAAATAGAAATCAAGAGCTTCCTCCTACAACAGAAGAGAAGGGATCAAGTGTCATAGAGGAGTAAACATTCTCTGTCGACAGGTCACACCTGTCGTGTGCTCCTTGTCATGCTCGGGAACAGACAGAATTCAGTGTGGAAATAATGGATTAAAATTTAATGAAAAATATAAGTCGACATTTAGATTCTTTTTGCTGAAATGGTCATTATATCGACCATAGAACATGCAAAACTATGACTTTACACGAGACTGCTGATATTCTTGTTTTCCAGTAGCTTGCTTTTGTTCTTAGTGGAGCATGCTTGTTTGTCAAATGATCTTGGAGACATACATTGCATATCCTGGTGACAATGGTCTATTGCTAAATATAAATAAAGAATTAAGATGATATTTAAAAAAAAAAAAGAAGTCATCCCGTTTATCATACAATGAGTATGAAACGAGTTACGTATTCTGATATGGTGACTCGTGGAAACTCGTCCTAATCTGAGTTAATCCACGTGTGAACCTTTAATAAACTGTTTCTGTTTCTTTTTTAAAGATCATCCCCGGCAAGGAGGCCGTTTACATGATAATTCGGTTCCGTGATGAGATGGAGATGAGAATCAGGAACGCCCTGGCTATCTCCAAACGAGCGGTAGAAAACTACCACGGCAAAATCATCGGCATATCGGGAGAGGTAGGTGTATCTTTGGTACCAAACTTGTCCAATTGTGCAATTATCGTTGATTGCCTGGAAAAGACAGTCATGAAACTAGGTGATCTTTAATATCAGTCCTTAATCTTTAAAGAAAGATGAAATATTCAAATATATGGTTTTTTAAAACAATGTTAATGAAGTCCAAAAAAGTAATAAGCCAGAATTAGAGAAGATTTGAACTAATATATTTGCCAAACATGTATGTCAAATTACTTTTTAGAATAAATACATGTGCCTATCCACAAAGTTTTACTGGTTTATTTTAGTGTAACGTATATGAAGAAGACCTAACAAAATGGCCGTCCAATCGCCGTATCCTGGTCATTTACTTCTCCGATCAAGCTAACGCCATAAGGTGGATTAACAGTGACAAATATTTCAAGAACGATGACTTCCCCCAGCCCAGCGACACTCTGCAGATTTTCCTCATCCCTGTCCACTACACTGCCGACAGAGGTACATACTGTACATTGTTTACAAATAATTTATCTTTACTTGTATAGAAATTTTCCCCATTTATTGCTGACAAAAGCTGATTTTTTTTGCTATATTGCCTTATCTAGAAAACTTCACATTTCACCTGCAAGAATTTGGAAACTGTAAGAACTGGGACAAACTAAACGATGGCTATATTAAACATGCGGCCAAAGTGATGGATACGTTCAAGGTTCAGCATGGCGCGGCTTATACGACAGATGCCGAGGGTCTCCGATGTTCCTTCGTCAGGAAGGGGAACTTTGTGGTGCTACACAGGTTCCAGTCTGTAGACCATTTTGAAAATTTCTACTATTCCAGTAAGTAAACATGTAATAAAGTATTTTTTACCAAGAAATATTATATAATGATTCTTTAAAACTAGTTTTCTTAGTGAATTGCTTGAAAAATTTGCTTTTTTGCAGAAAATATTAAAAAAAAAATAAACATTGTAAATTTTTAATATTTCTGAACATTCTGGAAGAAATGTTATTTTCTTTTTTACAGAAGCCTATGAAACATTGAAACAGTTTAGAAGAACTCTTTGTGACTGTAATTCCACTGTTTTCACCATTAACCCAGACATTAGAAACCCTTGAATTAATTCTGGGATTGCAATGTCCTCATAGCAATACGCCTTAAAATTACCCAACATCCCATTGCAAACTTTCTCAGTCCTCATATTTCTCAGATTGTAGAATTAGGTTCTATATAAATACTGGGTATTTTATAACCTCATTGAATTGGCTGATTAACTGACAGATTGTCACCAACTCTAACTGCTGACTGTGATAATCTCTGGTTTGTATGTTGAATGAGCCGTCCATATTTCTCTCCCCTTGGTGGAGATTGTTGATAGTCATTTTAATTATTGTTTTATATTGTTTTAATAGCCTCAGCAATATTTGGATGTAATGATTTGCATTTGAAGGTAACGTTTTAGTTATTGCTTATCTTCTGTGATAGTAAAAAATCTAATCAAATGAATGATATTGTCTCATGTCATCACTTTTCTATGTTGTTTTCTTACTGACTGTATACCAAAAGTGGCCATGTTCTTGTACATGTATATGTACATATGTTATAGATGGTTTTGATAATAAAAGAGTAATGTTTAAAAAAGTTTTGCTCTTTGATCAAAATACTTAACCTCTTACAGATTTAGTTCGATTTTTGAAGATCTGATCTCCAAAGTCTACATATATTACATTAATAAGGAGGAATACCAGCATCTTTGTAACTTCTTGCTGTGATGCGTGGATGTGACCGATCGACAGCACAGTACGTCATGTTTCTTCTTTACAGCGTTAAAGCATTTAACAAAAGTAAAGATAAGGTTTAGTGCAACATTTACTGGATTCTGAAATGCATCTTTCTCTGTAAAGGATTTTATTCCCTATCATGACAAGGAGCATATAGCAGCTTGCTTCCATGTGCAATCACTCTCTCACGAGCTGGGTCTAACTTATTATTACTTGCATCTGTGTAGAGGATACTAAGTATACTACGAAGTATCCATTATCATCACTACGTGGATAATGTATTACCTCTGGACCAGTTAAATTCTAAGGCTCTTTGACTCTGTCCATTCAACATCAGTGCCCTTCTTTAAGAAGCTAGTAAGAAGATTGAAAACCGTGAAGAAATCCTCAATGGACCTACGGTAGTAACCATTCATTCCCAGAAATTGACTTTGTTGGCAATACCTTGTACACTCTCAAAAAAGGCAAATAAAACAAACAGTGATCGATGTTAAAAAAAATCCATAAACAATACAAATGTGCGAAAAGACATAAAACACGGACCCCTGAGATTCCTGTGATGGGATCAGGTGTCTAGGAGGAATAACCATCCCCTGTTGACTAATCACCCCCGCCGTGAGCTCTATGTACTGATCAAGTAGACGGAACTTTCTTAGTCTATTCAGGATAAAAACTAGGTCTAACAATTAGAATGAAAGAAGTCTGTCACAATACGACTCAATAATAGGTATATTAATTTTGCTAGCAAGGTCATTATATTGACCATAAAATCTACAAAATCCTGACTTAAAAAGACGCTAATAAAATCCCTGTAACATTAACTTATTGATTAGAAGCCTGCCTTAATCAATTAAATTTTGACCGTGCTCAGATCAAGCTCTTGAATAGCGAATAAGTTCGAAGCTATAAACACCATAAGCAGGTGATAGTAGAATATTACTACCAGGTACATAAATAAGGAAAGTTGACGATGGAAAAGCTAAACTCACCTGGTTTCTCATACAATTTACTAATAGTTGTTTATAAGCATTGACGTTTATCGTCTATAGTCAGTAGAAATCCAAATATGGAACAGTTGTGACAGCCTGTTATTTCAAGTTCACTGGAATATATTGAATCAGCATACTTACAAAAATAAGTATATTTAATTGATAAAACATTGATTTATTGTGAGGAATTGTTGTATAAATAGTAGTAGTAAGTTTTGATGCTACAGACTTTTGAAAAAATTGTCGAATTTAAAGTTTCTGTGTAGTTTTTGAGGACCCAGCAATGTATCTTTGTATGGAAAGATTTTCATAAAGTTTAGGAAACATGGAGATGGCGAACAGATCAAAAGTCCATAAAACAATACAAAATAGGAGCAGAGCAAACACGGACTTCCAAAACATAACACTGGTCACACCCGCCGTGTCATGATCGGGAAATAACGAAAACATCCATCGTCAATTCTGTGTATAAATAATGGACTAACAATTTGTATGATAAGCGTCAGTCAGCATTTGAATCAATGATAAATTATTTTTGCCGACAATATCACTGTATCGACCATAGAACGTACGAAATGAAGACTTTAAATAAGACTGCTGAAATTCTTGTTTACATCAGCTTGTTTGTCAAAAATTTACCTCGTTATAGAAATTGTTTATACGTGGAGCATGCTCTTGCGTATCTAATCAGCTGAGAGATATAAACTCCGTATGCAGGTGATGAAGGTATATTGCTGCATAAGTAAGGGAGTTTGACGATAGAAAAGTTAAAGTCATCACGTTTATCATAGAGATTGGTTGTTAGATTACCATTAACGCCTTTTTCAAGTAAAATATCCAAATATGAAACAGATGTGTTAGACTCTGTGGTATTTTTTATCTCAAGCTCACCAGGATATATCGTATCGACATAAGAATGGAAATTACCATTGTTAATTGTCAATACGTCATCGATATTTCTAAATGTTGAGTATGTACACATACACTACTAGTATTAACGAAAAACAAAACAACTAAGTATAACATTTGTCATTTCTCTATAGCATTTAAAAGAATATGTCGATAAAATATAAAGATTCAAACATGCGTCTATAAATGTGAAGATTCAAACATGCGTCTAATTTTGGGAAAATCTTATCAACCCTTTTTAAAATTAGATTTCTAATCAGCAAGTCAAACAACATTGTTTATACAAAATATCTTTTTCTTTATTGATGAACATTCAAAATTAATAATTAAAACTCTATACAGTCATGGTGTGGTAATATATTTTTTTTTTCAGGAAGACATTTAACTTCTGTTAAAGAGAAATCTTTCTTTGCCTTACACCACATAAGTAAGGGAAACAATGGTTTAGAAATAATCTACCTGTTTTACCAAAAAAGAGTTTGCTTGTAAAGTGACACAATTAGTAATAACAATGAGAATTCCAAGTGCCAGGTGATTGCTGGAAGACCTGTTCTCCAAAGACAACATTATCTAGCTATGTTGTCAATGTGGAATCCACACTTCCTTGCATTATCGACTTCAGTCCTTATGTTTCTTTTAATTACAAAATAAGGTTGTTACAATCAAGTTTGAAATGAAGGTAAAGATAACGAACAGAGATCAATAGCAAAGAAGAAAGCGGAAAGTCTACGCTTCATGAGAAGTATTCTGGTTTCTGTATGAATAAAATAATATTGTTAAAATCCTTATAATTGTTGCCCATTGTAATCGCAGAGTTGGTATTTGTGTGAGTGATATTACATATGAGACGAGAGCATCCCCGTGTTTCCCTGTGACCTGTTGACAAATCCCCAGGAGCTGCCATGATATATCTCCGAGAGTTCCCAATTCTTTATGAACACAATAGACCAAATGCTGCAGGTTAAACAAAGCAACTAGCGCTTCTTTCATGTCAATGTGTATGTTGCACAGGATATCCAACAGGGAAACCATTAAAAAGTGTGGAATAAAAGAAACTGGCTGTTTAAATAGTATTTTAGACTGTTGTTCTGGCACTAATTCTTTGATGTAGCATATTCTATTGAAGAGAGAGATATTCCACGCCAGAGCATGTCTCATCTTTTTAGACCAAGATTGGCCACCGACAGTTTTTATGTACTTGTTCTCGTCTATGTTTTGATACATCACATTTTGCTCATTTAACCTGGCTTTGGTAAATTTTAATACAGTTAAAGCTTTCAAGTATCTGTATGTCTTATAATAATACATGGCTAGGTACAACATATCGGAGACACAACCAAACTCGGCTGTTAATTTCAGCATGTAGCGGGATATTTTGTCAATAGTATACATGCGTTTGTTTTCTACTTTGTTCGTATACACGTTGTGTAATATGAAAGCCATTCTCTGAAAAATGGTTTCTGCGTGTTTTCGTAACATGATTGTATGATACGGTGTGAGAGGAAGATGTATAACCTGTTCAATAGCCTGCAAGGCCTTCATACACTGGTGGAGATCTAGAGTGCATATTGCTTCGTTCTTGTGTACTTCCCGGAATAGCTCCATATCCAACTCTGTTTCAGAAATCAAAGTGTCTTCATTCAAAATAATATATTCATGTCTCGGAATATGAATGGCAACGCTTTCATTGGAGAAAATATGTAAAAAGGATGCTATGCCCATTTCATACACCGTATTCAGTATATCAAAAGTTTTCTGTTGTTTGTTTTGGTGAACATAGTTCAGAAACATATTGTTTTCTGGAATAAAAAAGTTAGGACAGACTCCCTCATACACCCATTTAAGGATAAGTTTGAAGCAGACCCAGAAACACTCCATGAGATTTTGTGGACACCAGTTCGATATTGTGTTCTGTTGTGCCACCCAAAAAACTGCTGTCTTCATATGATAGGAACACAGAAATTTATCCTCTTCATTTAATTTTGTATTGACAAATTCTTTTAAGAACAATTTAAGCAAACCATAGGTTAAGAATTGACAATGGCTCATACAGCGCACAAGTTTGTGTTCTGCTACAGAAAAAGAAACTCTCCATTCGCTGTCTTCATGGTTCCCTAATTTGTGTCCAATAGCAACAAAATGACAGCCACTTCTGACTATGTCATGAACAACATGCATATTTGGCCATGAGTGCACGAGACATCTCTCTTTCCATGAATAGACAGAGGGCGGCCAAAAATCAGAGCGGAAACAAATGGCATCATCATATTCGCCCCCTGTAACCATAGTCCCGCTACTGCAGGGACCATGTACGATAGAGTTAGGATGAATGACAGAACACATCACTTCTCTAAATATAGAACTAGAAATATAATGTTTACCACTCATTGTGACGAACAAACCTTTTATTTCTGATCCTAGTTCTGCTAGCTGTAGGAGAGTAAACCCTGGAGGACTATCAGAACCATCACATATTATGATTGTTTCTTTTTTATAGTACCGAATCTGAGATAAGTTCCATATAACTCGATAGCTATTTATACAGTACATGCAATCCGCGTCTGAATCCTTAAATCTGAACCCCTCTCTCCGACTTCCACTCAAAATCTCAGTCATTTCATGACATTCTCTTACTCGATTTTTCACTATCTCTGCTATGTCCATCACATCTCTTCTTATGGCCACCTGTTTTGGGGTCCCGATTTTACGACATAATCCCACAAACAGCTCCTCGGATATTTGCTGCATAGCGACACACTGTCACGAAACAGTACTAGTACTGATTACGCAAACACTAAATACGTTGATACTTCTTAGTAGCAGATAGGAATAGTAACTAGTAATCAATTTCAGATAGCATTCGAAATGAATTTTCAAGAATTTAAGAATGTTTTGTTTTTAGAAATTACCTTAATACTGGTGTCATAGACAGGACTCCAGCGATATCAGTCAGTGATATATGTTATCTAAAGTTAAACATCAGTAAAACCTAATCATTCTTCAAATATCACGACCTATATTTAAGCCAAATTGGGCAAAGGTACATAGTTACACTATTTTGTTGCATACAGTTTAGGAAAGTGTTCTAGTTTTGAGGGTGTTTGAGTCATAAAATCACACAGACTTGTCATATATAGGCATTGTCAGCACTTCATGAAATGTATTCCTACAAGAAAAGTCATGAAAACATTCCTTACACTTTTGTTTGCATTTTACATTATATATGTTCATGGATTTTATTTCTCCAGGAGGATACGTTATGTAAGAGCTTGCTCTACGTACGAACAATATCTGAAACGTGGCAAGCTATTAACGAAAAAAATGATGAATCAAGGATTTCAACAATTAATCTTCTCTCGAGTCAAAATCTGTGGTCTACACAAAGAGCTTGTCAGCAAATACAAGTTATCATTAAGTCGAATGTTGACCGAAGTTTTTGATACAAATTGTGAAGAGTTTTTTTTTTACTCTACGAGTTTCCCGTTGGCCCGATCATGACAAGGAACATGATGGTGTGACTGGTCGACAGGGGATGCCCACTCCTACATGGCATCTAGTCCAACTTCCCCTGTTTTATAGGTTCATGTTTGCTCTGGTTCTACTTTGTATTGCTTTAATGGAATTATGTACTTTATTTCTGTTTGCTATCTTCATATTCCATCCTCTACCTGATCCCGCCTTTGGAATATTCGGGGGTACATAATTTATATCCTTATCACAAATTTGTATAGTTTTTTTTGTGGGGGGAGTTATTGAGATCGAGCACTCGTTATCATCACATGTTACATAGAAAAATATTTTTAAAAATGATAATATGATTATAACATGGAAACAAAAGCACATACATATATATATATATATATATATATATATATATATATATATATATATATATATATATATATATATATATATATATATATATATATATATATATATATATATATATATGTCGGTTGTTTTGAATAAATAGAATGTGAAGATAACTAAAAGCAATCATGCTTGCAACAGAAGTTATGGGCAAAGCCATCATGGACGTTTTCTTTCAGAGAGAGAGAGAGAGAGAGAGAGAGAGAGAGAGAGAGAGAGAGAGAGAGAGAGAGAGAGAGAGAGAGAGAGAGAGAGAGAGAGATGCAATATGTTTAAATGCATGTTATCAGGACTATACACTAACAGTCACTCGTTCTTGTTCTTTTTTAACGTGTTCATTGTTTACTTTTTGATTCACTTTATTTCATTGAAGTTAATAAATGTTTTGTGGTCATCAAGCAATCTTTCACTGTTCACGGTAGCCTTGTGGTAGAGCGTTCGCTTCGTGATCGGGAGGCCCGGGTTCGATTCTCGTTCACGGTGCCGCGTCAAACCTAAGACGTAAAAATAGGTAGTGACTGTTCCTTCGCCAAGCGCTCAGCATCAGAAGTGAAAGTCACGCCAGATCTTTCGGATGAGACCTTAAAAACGTAGGTCCCGTGTCACGGTAGGCGCCGGCACGATAAAGAACCCCCACTGCTCAATGGCCCTGAGTGCCGAGTATAGGTCTAAATTTGAAGCCCTTCCCCGGCATACGGTGACGTCTCCATATGAGTGAAAAATTCTCGAGAGGGACGTTAAACAATATACAATCAATCAATCAATCAAGCAATCTTTCTGAGAGACAAATTTCCTTCATGGATGGTCAGTCTGTGCTTGATTCACATGTTTGAGGTAGATATAATTAGAAGAGTCATTTAATTGTTCCTGTAAAAACTTTTCCTTCGCAAGAATAAAATTTAAATCTCTAAATAAATAATCAAAAATTTTGCTTTTTTTCACATTCTTTTTTTTTAAATGTTAAATATCACAGACAATTATTAGGGCAGATATTTTTAAAAAATCTATACAATATTCAATACATAGACTGATGTAGATTAAAACGATATGTTTCTTTAGAAGCTTTACCCAGTTCATTAAAGTCTTTGAATAATAATAATAAACAAAAATCATGCATTTTAAAGGTACGAGGATCTAAATCTATGCAATTTAATGGTGTTATAATGATAAACGTAATAATTTGTAGAATGCCATTATTAATTAGCTTAAATAAGGAGGCTTAAAAATGGTTTAAACATTATTAGAATGCAGATTGAGTTATCTCACTTGGCTTTTCATCATGAAATATAAAAAAGGGCATTGCAGAATGGCTTTTTTATCAAAGGTCTATCTAATTGCGAACAAATGTATGTACTGTGTGTTTCTAAAGTGAGCAAAATCAATTTCTTTTTCAACAGCACTATCAAAATGTAAACAAAGCACATCGTACAAAATTGCGTTCCAGTTACCTTACAAATAAGCGTAGTGAATAGATAAATTGATAAAATAAATAAAAACATAAATAATAAATAAATAAATAAATAAATAAATAAATAAATAATGAATAAAGTAAATAAAGAAAGAAAGGAAATAAAAGAACTTTATAAAAAAATAAACAGAATATAGAAGAAGTTTCATTTACATGTATACCTGTGAGCTTGAAATAAGATACCACAGAGTCTGACACATGTTTCACGTATAGATATTTTATTAGAAAAAGACGCTAATGTTAATCTAACAACAAAGAATTATGATAAACGTGATGTATTCCCTTGTATATTAGTAGTCTAGTTTAAGCCATCATTTCGTAAGCTCCAAGGTCGATACAATTACATTGTCAGCAAATACAACATGTAAAATCTATCATTAAGCCAAAGCTGAGTTTTTCATAGTAATTGTTAATCCATTATTTTCACTCTGATTTGTCGACGGACTTTTTTGTTTTTCCCAATCATGACAAAGAGTACACGACGGGTATAAACGTTCAACAGGAAGTGCTCACTCCTCCAAAACACCTTACCCCACCTCTGATGTTTTGGAGATCTTTGTTTCCCCTACTCTTTATTTGTAGTGTTTAATGGACTTAGAAATTGTTCCTTATCTTGTTTCACTTTATGAAAGGAATCACTTTCTTGTTTGTTGGGTATACAAGGGCATCAAAGATAGTTGGAAACAGGATAATTTGCATAACGGACTTCCAGCTGCCGCGGCCGTTGATGTCTGTAGCATACCCAACAAACTAGACAGTTATTCCATATATTTACACGCATCTTCGCTAGCCAAGGGCCTTTAACTCGACATTTAGATCTATCGACGACTTATTGTCAATTAACAATGATTATTTCCATTTTTATGTCGACATGATATATCCCGATGAGCTTGAAATAAAAGATACCACAGAAGAGTCTGACACATCTGTCTCATATTTAGACGTTTTACTTAAAAAAATGTTAATGGCGATCTAACAATCTAACTTTATGATAAACATAATGAGTCAATCGCCAATCTCCCTTACTTATGCAGCAATATACATGTACCTTAATCACCTGCATACGGGGTTTTTATCTCTCAGTTGATTCGATACGCAAGAGCATGCAATTTCTAAAACGAGGTAAATTATTTACAAACAAGTTGATGAAACAAGAATATCAGCAGTCTTGTGTAAAGTCATCATTTTGTAAGTTCTTTGGTCGATACAACGACCTTATCAGCAAATACAATTTATCATTGAGTCAAATGCTGACAGACTTGTTTCATACTAATTTTTAGTCCATTATTGATACACTAAATTTAGGACGGATTTTTCCGTTATTTCCCGATTATGACAAGGAGCACACGGCGGGTGTGATCGATCGGCAGGGGTTGTTCACTCCTCCATGGCATCCAACTCTGACGTTTTGGAGGTCAGTGGTTGCTCTGCTCTAAATTTGTACTGCTTAGCGGATACTGTACGTTATCTCCTTATAATTCATTACAACTTCTAGGCATCTTTTTGTCCTATTGATGGATTCGTGTTGTTTGTAGATCTTTTAGGTCGATCTCAAGTATTTTTTCCTTTTCATGAGTATGAAAAATGTCCAATTTCTACTCATGCAACCCTTTACCATCACCCTTCCATGGTTTCAAACATCATTGTCTGACTTCATTGCATTGTCGCAAAATAACATCGTCGTCATCGTTTATACATGTTCTCCTTAAAATTATGATTTTTTCCTAAGGCTTAACGACTTTATAGCGTTATTGGATTAATGAGAGAGAACCATTTTGTTCTTACATCTTGACGATAAAACAAAATTATAATTCTGAATCTAGTTAAGTTAGATCTATAAAACCACGTTTACTGTGACATACACAAAACCAAACAAAACCTGAAACTTTATTAACGTTAGATAATTGATTAATTTTTGAGAAAAATCACGTAGTTTAATCAATATTGACTTAAAGGTTGAATTCAAGTTCATTTCAATAAATAAAAAAGAATGACTCATTAACTATCCTCAAGCTTTAATGAACAAAGGGTTAGGGAATAAACTAAGTTTATTTAATTGATAACAAACATAAAGGCCTGTCAATTAGTGAAAAGCTGTACGAGAATTATTTGCTGAGGTGTTGGTTTGCCGGATTTCGTTTTCGTCGTGTTAAGTTTTTAAAAAAACTTATAAGTGATCCTTGCCTCATTTGTTTTGAATGAAATCATGTTTAATCATTCATGCAAATGACAACCTTATTGTGTGAGGTTCAATAATTTTGTTTTATAAACCATTAATACACAAAGTTGTTTTTACTTGAATTTGAACCCAATGTCTTGACATTTTTAAAATAGCAAAATAAGATATAAATATACCCAATGGACGTTAGGGAAGGGGGAGGGGTATACAGATAACAGTAGCTTACATTTAGCTGTTTCTACAGGTATAAGTACGACATTTTTCTTTATTAAGTGGTATTAGAATAGTATACGTTCGAAAGGATCCACATGTTTCAAAAATTTTACTTTTAGACTTCGGGATCTTATATAATTGTAAATTGATGATTATTATTTCAAATCTTAATTCTCCATGCATGAACCTATTTTTATTTATTTCTGCAGATGCTCTAAAACACCAGAGGTGGGATCATGGATAAGTAAGCATCCTCTGTCATACATCCGCCGTTTGAACCTTGTTATGATTGAGCCAACAAAAAAAATCTGTGAACGATTCAATATGTAAAGAATGGCTTATCAATTTGTATGAAAACCGCAGTAACAATAGATCGTTTTTGGTGACATGATCAGTGTATCGACCAAGAGCATTTGAAATGTTGACTTAAAATGAGACTATTGATTTTATTGTTTCACCAACTTCTTTGTCAATAGATTTTCTCCATTTAGAATTTATTCGTGCGTATAGCGTGCTCTTGATATGAAATCAACTGGGGGACATTAACTACATATGCAGGTGATTCGGGTGTGTAGCTAAAGAAGTTGACGGTAGAAAAGTTTTTTTTGTAATTCAATGCATTTTACCGATCTCTTTTTAGCTTTTGATAAATATCTGAGTTACGATAAAGACATTGCAACGAAAACAAATTATGTGGATAATTTATAAATATCCTTTATATTGTAACCGAAATGGGAATATAAAAGTTACTTACTCAAATGTTTATCAATTATATAATGATTCCAATATCCACCTTAGGTCAACACTACAGAAGTGAACACACGAGTTTGATAAATTTGCAAATATTTTGTGTCTTATTAAAGACTGAACTGAGATCATATTATTATTTAATAATCATCATAAAGTAAACCAAAAACATGAATGGTAAGAATATTACAATGCAGATATGATGTGGATTATAAAGTGTGGGTCAAGTTAATCTGAGTTAAGCTGATCCTTAACTTAACCCAGTGACACTGCACAGTGGAGCCCCGGTAGCGACTCACCAATGGGTAGCAACTGTTCCTTCGACACTTTGAAGTAAAAGATGCGGGTCTTTCAGATGAGACGTTTAAAACCGAGGCCCTGTGTCATGACAGGCCTTGGAATGATAAAGATCCCTTATTATACCCCCCGCTTGAAAAGCGGGAGGGTATATAGTAATCGGTAGTTCCGTCCGTCCGTCCGTCTGTCCGTCCGTCCGTCTGTTACGCTTTAGGGTACCCATCTCTTATCCGCAACTCCTCCCATACCACTGAAGGAAATTTAATGAAACTTTCACAGAATCTTTATTACATATTGCCATTGTGCACCTCCTATTTTACTTTTTGATCTGACATATATTTTGGATTTTTCAGAGCAAAACATGGACACCGCCATTATATTCATATGGGAGGCGGGGGGTATCATTTAGTGAGCTCATTGCTCACAGTACCTCTAGTTGTTCACTGGCCCCGAATGTCGAGTAAAGGTCAAATTTAAAGCCCTTCAACGGTGTATGATGACGTCTCTAAATGAGTGAGGAATTCTGGAATTGGACGTAAACAACATGATAACATTCGATTTTTCATAGTACCAAATATACATATAGGACTAAATGGAGGGGTCTCTATTTATTTGAAATTTTGTTTTTTACTTAAATATTTTATAATTACTTATATACTCGTCTTTAAGTAAAATGTTATTGAAAGAAATAACCAAAATCAGTTTTAAAACTAGGAATACTGTGAGCAACGATCTCTTAGTGATACCCCCGCCTCCCATATGGTTATAATTACAAAGTCCCTCTTTTGCTCTTGGAGACCCGAAATAAGTGTCGGATCAAAAAGTAAAATAGAAGGTGCACAATGGTAATATGTAATAAAGATTCTGTGCAAGTTTCATCACATTTCATTCAGTGGTATGTCGGATCAAAAAATAAAATAGGAGGTGCACAATGGTATTATGTAATAAAGAATCTGTGAAAGTATCATTAAATTTTATGTAGTGCTATAGGAGGAGTTGCGAATAAGAGATGGGTAACCTTCAATATTATAGAAAAAATAGCGGTGTCAATGTTTTGCTCTGGAAAACCCAAAGTATGTGTCCGATTAAAACGTAAAATAGGAGGTGCACAAGGGCAATATACCTGGTATGACTGGTATGACAAAGATTCTGTAAAAGTCTCATTAAATTTCATTCAGTGGTAAAAGAGGAGTTGCGGATAAGAGATAGATACCCCAAAGTGTAACAGACGGACGGACGGACATCCCGATTACTTTATACCCTCCCGCTTTTCAAGCGGGGGTATAAAATGTGCTTGGGTAACGAATGACAAGATTGTTCAGGACTTTAATTAAACCCCCCCTTGAAAAGCGGGAGGTATATAGTAAACGGTATGTCCGTCCGTCCGTCCGTTTAGCTGTCCGTCCGGCCGTCTGTTACGCTTTGGGGTACCCATCTCTTATCCGCAACTCCTCTCATACCACTGAAGGAAATTCAATGAAACTTTCACAGAATCTTTATTACATATTGCCATTGTGCACCTCCTATTTAACTTTTTGATCCCAAACATATTTTGGGTTTCCCATAGCAAACCATGGACACTGGCATTATATTCATATGGGAGGCAAGGGTATCATTTAGTGAGCTCATTGCTAACAGTATCTCTAGTATGCATCTTTAGTCAGTAGTGGCAGTGTTATAGCAAGGTAAACTCCACTGGACAATTTCAAGAGCTTCTCTAACAGGATTTTATGTCTGTATTTAATGTTTATTTGATATAAATTATTCCCCTGTTTATTCTGAGCAGACATCTTAATATGAATATCCATAATTGGTTATGATAAAAAAAAATACATCGTCAAACGTAAACCCAAATCAGATAAATTTCAAAAATAACTTTTATTTAAACATACTTTATGTACGATAAAGAGTACACAAATACCTGTAGTTGAATTTATTTGACAAAATTCTTCATAAACAAAATTAATCACAAAACAGACATACATCTGCACAAACTTTCAATTCAACAGATTTATTTTAATCAGAAATTAGACAAATACTCTCCACAGAAGCATTGATTCTCCTAAGTGTGACGTCACATTTAAATCGTTTATACATCAGCTTGTAATCGCTTTGGTTGAACTAATATGTTTGTCAAAAACCCAATCCTAGAGTAATGTAAGTAAAGATAGAGGTCCCATGGCAAAATGATAAACACAGGCTTTCTTCACTGAATGAATGAAAGTGTCGCTCTCGAATTTTCTTCCACAAACAGAGATTTACACTATGCCCGACCTTACAATGAATAGAAGAAAGCAAACATTGATACAGAATTCATTTGATTAACTGTAGACAGACCTTTACATTCATGCAGAATAAATAAGATTTTAAAAAGGAAACAAAATCTGTATACGGAATATAAAAATTGTTTTAACATACTTTTTATTCAGGTTTTAACATCTTTCTGAAGCATCCGTAGAAGCTTGTTAAAGAAAACTTGAACGAAAAGATCTCCAACATCGACATATAGTTTGAAATCTTACTTAATGATGAAAAGCCCCTCCCCCCCCCATCAGAAACAGATTTCCCTCCCTATGGTAAGTCATAAGACTGTAGAAAGACATACACTGTCAAAGTGTCAACCTTCTCTATAAAGACGTGTGTTTGACCTTATCTAGGGCGATGGAACTTTTCCAACACTTAAGTTCGTAAATTTTCACTTATAACGCGAGTCTATTATTAAAAACAACGCAGGTTTATCAAGGCATAATATCTTTTTGACAAAGTTTGCCAAATCTATTGTTATTTGCTCAAATACTTAGGAGTTATCTGCCCATTTTAAGACTTTACATTATCACTGGTAGAACTACCCGTTATAAGAGCGCTTGACTAACACGGTAAACATTGTATTGAACCAACTCAATGTTTTAATCAATGCTGGAATTTAGCAATTACGGAATTTATTTTTATGCGTTTAATATTTAATAACGTTTTGTGAATCTGCATGTTCCACTTTTAATACCCTATTAAATGGGTGTTAAATTACCGTAGCCTGTTGCTCCGTGTTCCGTGACGAATTACGAGTTAAAGAGATATATAACTTTTTGTCTTTTAGCCTATAGGGGATAATACGGTGCCAAAACAGAGGTTTGCGGACTACGGTTTGGGGGGTAAGTAGAAAAACGCCCTGGTAAAAGACAATTTAAGATTTTTCTATACTTTGTATATTATAAGATGTGAATATATAGATGAGCAATAAGTAAATTTGACAATACACATATTGTTTCCAGGGTTTACACAATAAATTGACCATGGTATAGATATACAGATCCTATCTCTAACCAGTCTGTGTAAAGTTTACGATGACAATATGTCTATTGTTTTAAATGTATGGGGTTAATATAGATCAGTCAGCAGTTATAAATTACTACAAGAAAACTAGAATCTTGTAATCCTCGAAACATAATTATTTTACCTTCGCATATTTTTTAAATGGAAATTTATTTCAGTATTGATTTAAAAGGTATTGCAGTGTAGGCTTGTCTTCAGAACACATTTGCAAGCAACTGCATTTTTGTTATTTAATTTTCAATGAAAATCGATTCTTCAATGTTTTAAAACAATGAGAATGTATGATAATAATTTACTGGTTCTAGAATAATGGAAAGTAAAATAATTGCGCATGCGCGTTGCTAAGAATAAAGGTGTTCAGTAAAACATTCGCACACAAACTAACTTCAATATACTAACTTATTTTTAAGACAGCCTAAGAATTTTAATTCGATACAAAAATAGGTCAACCTAGACAAAAAGTTCTAAAAGAAAAGTTAAAAATTCGCAGTGTAAATATTTGCGATTGATTAGAAGTCAATCGCAGTGGAATTAAATTCCCGAGTGTAACGGATTTACTGTTTTAATGCTTGTATAAAGTACTTTAAGGAACTTTAAAGCCGTATATACTGCATAAAATATTAATAACAATCTTATCAATGGAAAAACAGTTACGTATTCATAGGCATTATCAAATGATGATAGATCCTATGACATGTAAAATAATGACGTCCCAAAGCATATTCTGTTATACATATACCCTTTACAGAGCGGCTGTTCAGTTCCCAACTTTTTTGCAGTGATCACAGAATTTGATAGGGTGATTTTTATCGCTCAATTTAATATCTTAAAAAAAACTCAATGTATATCATAAAATATTTATTTTGTAAAGTGTTGGTATTACATATTACATATCTCGATTCCAATCACGATATAACAAAATATAACGGTACATTGCTTCATATAACAAGACACCATCATAAAACAATTTATAGTGTTGCCCTGACAAAATTCAAATTAAGAGTCCTTTAGAAGATTAAAACCTTGGACTGACGGCGAGAGTGTTTGGTCTTCTTTGCTCTATAATGGGAGTCTTTATGTCAATATTAGCTACCAAGTTCTGATACCCTTAAAACCATAGGACGAGGAAAGTGTTAAATTTCTCATTGCAATAATCACCTCCGTGTCGGGTTGATTTTAGAACCTAATTGATCTGTAGCCATTTCGGGTATGTATTTCACATCGATCTCTCTTTTCTGTTTCTGGGAAGTTTGTTTTATAGCGGAAAACCTATAATAATAAAACTTTTTAATTATGTTTAGATAAATTCCTTGTGTGAACCCAGAACTTCAAATATATTAAGGACTGAAAGAGATGGGCTGTAATTTAGGAGGACAAAAAATCGATTATTTTATCATTTAAAGAGGGTAGATGTAAAAAACAATGTTTACAAAGAACTTAAGAATCCTTAAATAGTAGATTATCTGAGATCTTACGTAACAAATGGCAAACAGGGCTGTACAGGTGACAAAATAACACACATTTTATATAAATCTTCTACAAAGTAGAGTTCAGTAGAAATAGATTTCAGTAGAATTGTGATAAGACTTACCAAATGTTTCTGTTTAAAGCGTAACTTTATCTTAAGTTGGTAGTCAACCAAGAATTTATACGTGATTTGGTGTGTGTATTATAAAACCATTCGATTAACACAAAATATAACAAATTCAACATAGAATTACTGTTATTTACTCATTTCCTTTTTATTTTAGAATGTGCAATGATGTTTAAAAAAATTCCATGCATTTACCAATATACAATGTTCTGATTATTCTTAATGCCTAAGATTTCCCTCATAAACCGTTTATCTATTTAAAACCCTTCTTAATTCTCGATCAAATTCTGTCTTTAAAAGTCTTTAAATGATATTGACTTTAAAAAAAAAAATTTTCAGTAGCAACATTGTCTACTTTGAGAGGTAGATTCCCACGAATTCCATTCGATGCCCCTCATACTTTTAATATAACTTTCTCAGAGCCCTAACTCTTTTTATTGGTCCATTTGTTTGTGTAGCGTTTAACCGCCCACTTTATGATACAATAAATGCCTTGATGCTCAGCTAATGTAACTTTTTATTATTTCAGGACAATATACGATGTTCAGTTAATATTACTTTTATTATTTCAGGACAATATACGATGCTCAGTTAATATAACTTTTTATTATTTCAGGACAATATTCCTTCCAGCAGGATGTCATACGTAAGTTCAAAGTTCAATTTATATTTTTCTTAATTAATTTGAATCAGTTTGTTTTATTCCATAAAAGATTACATGATAGACAACGATCCATTCATTTTTATTAATTTACAAAATCTCTATGTACAATGAGTACAGTAATTAAAAGAGTAAGAATAATCGAGGCATCACTTTTGCGTTGTTATGACAGCAAAGAATTGGTATATACTATAGTAATGTTTGTACATTTATCGTGATATGATTCCAGCCCAGTTCGTTATGGCCAATGACCATGGTAGGATTTTATATTGTTACCCTGACTTCTGTGAAGCCAGGCTTATTAAATATTATATTAATTAACTCTAGTTATATATTTTTGTTTCTTTTTCTAGCGGCTAGCAACAGACATTGTAAATAAATTTATAGAAGTGCATTGGCAACTTTGACTAAAGCTAATTGACGCAGTACTTAGAGTTCAAGATGCAATTTAGCCAGGCATTTAATATACATGTAGTCAATATTTTCTTTTCACGTCAAACAGTACAAGTAGGCAGGGCTTGCAGTTATTTACTTTGGTTTAAGATTTTTGTTCTGTCATTCTTAAGTTTACCCTCATGGTAAAAAGTTGAAAACTAATTGACCTTAAGTCTGAAGCACCAAATCTTGGTAAAAAAAGGTTTAAATTCTGGCTGTCCACTGTATTTAAATATAACATTAGGAGAGAAAGTTAGATTTAAATTTTGAGTCCATTTTACTGGGTGAAATAGTAACCTTGAGTGTTTTTGTATCTGTAAATTGGAGTAATTAAATACCACGGTGATCAATAGCTTCACTTCTCAGCGACGTAACTCTTCTTTATTCAAAAATTAAAATCTTTTATCCAAGGCCATAATCGTGTACAATAATCTGAGATAAAAGTCCACATAATGTTACAGAATCTATTTCACTGTTGACTTAGTTTTGTATTGAACAAAAGAGTTATTACATTGGCTACAATTCACTTCTGTGGGTAGACATAGTACACATTGATACAAAAACCTCCCACATTTACTTCTATTCTAACTTAAAACGTCAGCAGAGACTATTAGAACCATTCACATAGTTATAATGAGATTTAAATTTCTAAAACATTCTTTTAGAATATACTTTGTATTTTGTTCCTTTCATTTGCTCCAGAGATTAGATAAAGAGTATTTTTTTGAGTTGACTTTCCTTTGAATAGGAAATCACATTCGGTAACCAATTTGTGTCTTCCGTACTTGTAATATTATCTCTTTAATTTCACTCTCAATTTACCGTGCAGAATGCTTTAATTCATACATTCAGTGTCAAATCTTCTTGCAAAATTTGAAATTCACACAAGAATACTACAATTTTGCAAGGTGTTTCAGTTATACAGAGTCACAGCATGACTTCTGAGGTCCTAAGGGAATAAGTTTTGATAAGATACTTGAATGCTTTCAGTTTGTTAATATTTGGTAGTTTTGATAATTTGCCATTAACTCTACAATTGACAGGAGAATACAGTTAAACCCTGGTCCGGGATGGTAACTCACTTTTTTTATACTCACGTTGTTGTAAACCCAGAACTGTCACCTATCATATCCTGTAAATCTGTTTTCGTCATGTGAGCAAAAAGATAAAACAATCCTCTAAATACCAAAGTTTGCAGTTCTTCATAATCTTAGATAATTGATAGTTTTCTTAGGATAACTTTCAGCCAAAGCTTATTTTCTGAAATTTTAATTTTTTTCTTTCAATTTTTTGCATAGCTGCAACCAAGAATTTTGCACCATTTTTTGTAGTATTGTTCACAATTTAGTCTGTGTATCTTTATAATATGTACGTTGAAAACTAAAAAAATTCAATATAGCACATATCAGCACATCAATATATACTCCACACTTTAAACATTCTTATTTTAAAATGTAAAAAGGTTTATGATAAACGTGATGACTTGAACTTTTTAATCGTCAATTTTCTTTACTTATGTAACAATATTATATTTTTATCACCTGCACATGGATTTGTGTGTCTCAAATGAGTCCAGAAGAGCATGCTCTACGTATGAATAAATTCTAGAAAGAAACAAGTTGATGAAACAAGGATGCCAACAGTCTTGTTTGTAGTAACCGTTTTGCAAGACCAATGAGCGATACAATAGCCTTATAAGCAAATATAACCTACTGTTAGGTCAAATGCTGACAGGCAATTTTCATACGAATTGTTTGACCATTATTTACACACTTAATTGTCTACGGATTTTCTGTTTTCTCCGATCAAGACAAGGAGCACACGGCGGGTGTGACCAGTTGGCTGGGGATTATCACTCCTCTATAGTACTTGATCCCACCTCTGATGTTTTTGCGGTACTCCTAATTTGCATTGTTTAAATAGACTCTGAATTTGAATACTATTCGTTTTCTCCGCATTTCATTGCTATGGAAACCTTTGAAAGGTAGTCAAAGTCATAGTCAAAGTGTTTCTTGTGACTCTTGTCCGTAAAATGCAAAACCTCAAACTTACTTTGTGCAAATGTATATTGATATTCAATCACAGAAATCTTTTTTGGAGTTTATCAAATGTTAATACCACTGATTGTTTTAGTATATATTTATGTGTTTTATTTATGATACCACTATAAAATTAATATGAAATATGCATACTTGAGACAGTGGTATTTAACAGATGTCAGATTTTATTGATAGTAAGTTTTATGTAAATTTTAAATTATCATGTTATTATTATATTTCTTGCAATTTTTTCGCCAAATCTTATTTAAAGAATTTTTCCACCTAATGTCAATCTAATTTTCGTAAAAGAATTCGCGCCATTGAATTATTCACAATACTGTGGACTTTTCCATAAAAACTCAATTTGTACGAGTATCTGGCATTGAATAATACAAAGATTTGAACTACATTTAAATACTTATTAACAAAGAAAAGGAAAGTGTTAAAAATGCACAAGTGTGAAACTGGACATAAATTGTACTTTTATTACATGGGCAAAGAAAAAAAAGTAGCAATAGAAAAAGTCTGCTAGTTCCTAGAGATTAGCTGTTTGTGTGTTTGTTCTCTTGTACACAAATGTTAAACCTTAATTGTAATTTGTAACAAATTATATTCATAATTATCAAAGAATGTATTTTTTTCAAAGATTTAATTGTATAATTGATACAAAGGAGTTGGTTACAAGTTCTAACAACTTAAGAGATAGAAAAAGTCCATGCAGAAAATTGACGATCCTGAATATCTTCTATGCCATGCGATGTAGTTTCAAGAATATTTTCTTATCTTTTATTCCTTGAATTGTTTGCATTGCCTTTATTGCATATTCTATCAATAAACACAAGTTCTGTCATTTTCATCTAAACATTCGATGATAAAGAAAGTAAACCACTTTTGTTCTTACATTGATTATTATTGAGAAATTCAGATCAAGAAGATAAATTATTTTTTACTAAATGCACGAGAAGTTTATTGGAAAGTAGAAAAAATATTTTATTTACTAAGTTGTCTTTTTTGTGCTTTTCCAGTATATGCAACAGTCGACCTACAAGCATGACTTTGTGCCCGCTAATGGGGTAAGTTTGACTTTATGGAATGTTGATTTTATTCCTTTGTATTCCAGTATATGCAACAGACAACCTACTCACATGATTACAACTCGGGAGGGGTATGTAATTCTTCATAGCACCGCTTCATGTTAAAGAGCTGGGCAAGACAAAAGTTGTCCATAAATGTAACAAAAACGATGGGCTAAAGATATTGTCGCATTGCTCTTTGAATGCTGAAAATAGCTAAGATGCCCTTTTGTAGAAGGGCATGCTCCAGTTTTCTTTATTTTATGTGTGTATTGTAGTAGCAGAAACTTGACGATTTTTGCTTTTTATGTTCTAGAAAAAATTATCATTTTTAATTTCAATGAAAGTTTATTTTTCAATTAATACCAAAAGTATTTTTTATTTACATGTATGTAATCACATATTAGGTGCTTGTGGTATTAATTTAAAAGATATTGATCAATAATCAATTTATGAGATACTTTTTGAAAATCAATCATATTCCTATTCTAATCTCCCAATTTATTTCTATTTGAAAATTTTAATAGATAACTGACAATTTCAATTAGGCAACAATGGTATGCAGTAGGAATATTTATTGATTGCTTTTTTAATGTCATGGCAAGCTTCAATATTAACAAAAGTTAGAAGAGAATTCTATAGTTTCATAAATATTTCCCTATCAACTTTCGTTGTAATTTTTTTTACAACGCGACCTAGTTAAGTTATTAAAAGGTTTTGTAGGCAGAAACCCTTACTATATAAATATTTGATAAATCATCATCTTTATATTTTTTGAGTTTTATAGAGTAAATCTTAAGAGATACTTAGTATTTTGATGAGAAATCTGAAGGCATATTCATACATGTTTTTCTATCAAACAGGGTCGGGTATGTATTTCTATTTCAGTACAAAATACCACTAAACAGTAAAACATTTCTTCTAGTGTGAACACACGACATATCTAATAAGAACATTTATGTATTTTGTGGCGTTTTAATTGTTTTAAAAGCATTTTTATTGTTTAGTCATGCTAAAGATTAATATATAAGCGTCAAAACCAATTAACAAAGGAATGGCATGAATCCCAAATGGAATAAAACCACCAGAACTTCAATCAGAATGACATATTCCTCATTTTGAAGATAATTAATGTAAAACCTATTCTGAATCCTTTCTCCGGCTTGAAATCCTTAGTCACGAAATATCGCACAAAGCAGTTACATGTACAGTATCTCATTCATTTTAAGGACAAGGTTGATTTTTTTATTTGAAAGATTGCATAAAATTGATCAAAATTTTTTTTCTGTTAATCCTTGACATAAAGATTTATAATTGTTATATACTTTAACTTTAAAAGATGAAAGAGACTACAGCAACATTAATTCATTATGTCCGAAAAATCTTAAGTAAAAAATCAATGTACATAGAAAGCCAATATTATTCAAGCGGAATTTTATTTCTTTTTTAGATTTCTCCAAGGAACAGACAGACAAACTACCCATACGGAGCAGATGCACCCAAAGCCGACATTGCTCCTCCTTACACCAACTTCCGGCCACGATTCAGCGACCCTCTCCCTCCGCATATTAGAGATGTAACGAACCTTATTCTTATCTCTTTTAAATTTTTAATTGCTGAAGCACTCTAAGGAGCGCTGATGTAGATGGGCTTAATTTTCTATTCCACTGAAAGTCTACTGACATACGATTTCTGTTCAAATGTTATGACATGGTATTTTTGCAGTTTCATTCAATTCCTTCTTTCTACAATTTGGTGAAAATATTTCATGGATATAGCTAATAAGGACTTTCATCCTATAATTCCAATTATTCTGCATAATGTATTTCATAAACCTATCATCTTGAAATATATTGCAAATTATGGGATTTTTAATTCAATTATCCAAAATATTCAGATGCTTGAACATAATGTAAGTGATTTTAATTTCTTTGGATGAGAAATGTTAAAAAAGATATATTCTAAATATTCATAAAAACACCACAACATGTATCATTTGCCACCTTTATATCTAATAAAATACAATATATGAAATAATCAAATCCTTCGGACTCTGTGGGAAACTTTCAGATACTAGTACGAATAGAGATATTCAGCTAATCCTATCCAATAATTTTAAAATACTAAAGGTATAGGTAAATATTGAATGTAAAAATTCTTTTTAAAGCAGTTCTTTTCTTTATAATCGAATGCTCAATTTAAATTATTTAAAACTGGGAGAAATAAGAAAAAATATGAATAAATATTGAATAACATACACTGTATATTCTTTGGATTCAATTCAAATATCAGTATCACAATTAAATAAAAATGGAAGCGTTTATTCTATAGAATTCTATAAAATCGTTTGAGAAAGTGTCATTTCTTACCCTGAAACATTCGTTTTTGTAGCTGGATGGCCAGAGATATGATGATCAGCCCTTAACGGATAGGGTGAGTCAGTAGTGTGTGCCAAATTCCAAAAATAAAACTCCTGGTCTCAATTTCATGTTAACATTTATCAATCATAAACCTTGTTTTACATTCTGATACTAGTTATTTGTGCCATCTTTCAGCAAAGAGTCAAGAGAGGAGAAGAGTGGATAGGCGGGGTAAGTGATTTAACATTCCTGTCTTATGTTTTACTTTTTAAATTGCTTTAAGGGAAGTAACTCGTACTGGAATTAAATATCTCTTATTTTGCAGAGACGATACGACGAGCCCCTAACAGACAGAGGCGTAAGTTGAAATAACACATTTACAGCACAGTAAATACACAAATATATCATTTTATATTTAATAATCCCAATGTGAATTGATTACTAATAAATACTATAACTTGGGAGAAAGATATTACAGTTGCACCTGATTATAGGTCTATATTCCACCTAGAAAGGTATGTTTAGTACAACTTTTTGCTCCTGCATCTTGTGCATGTCTTTCTATAGTTTGATTATATCATAATCTGTCCCTCTCTATTTTTTCTAGGCCAATCGTCTTTTAAAGTTTTATTAGTAATTCTATTGTCGATACATTGAACTTGTCAGCAAGTACGACCTATCATTTAGTCAAATGCTGACTGACGTTTTTCATACTTATTGTTGGACCATAATTTACACGCTGTATTGACGACGTTTTTATCCTGTTATTTCCCGATCATGAAAAAGAGCTCGCGGCAGGTGTGATTGATCGGCAAGGGATGCTCACCATGCCTTGGCACCTGATCCTACCTCTGATGTTTTAGATGTCCGTGTTTGCTCTGCTCCTAATTTGTAATTCCAACGGATTTTTGAGCTTGAATACTGTTCGTTATCGTCCCATCTTTTATTACAAAATGTGTCAGCTTTTTAAATTTTATTAATGTTGAGATATGAAAGTAATGAAAAAAATATGACAAGAAAGGAGAGAGGATTATCAAACAATTTTTATGAAAATTTTATTCCATTTACAAAATTTTCGAAATGATGATTATACTTTCAATTTAAAAAAAAAAAAAATATGGGTAATTTTTGACAAACAAAAATATTGTGCTTCAAGCTTTTAAGAAGTCGATGCTCTTTTTTGGATTGTTTACATACGAACTATTATAACCTGTTGCCAAATATTTTAGACTTTTTAACAAAATAAAATTTTAAAGAGCAAAGCTACAGCTTATAACTTGAAGTCGTATTATAATTTTATATCTTCTAACATTAATAAAACATTGCGGAATTAATAGTTTTATTTTACTTATAAAGTAGAAAACATACAAAGTATTTTTTTTAGATCAAGAACATAGTACATTTTTCACTAAAATAAAATCTCTAGATATAAATATTTTAATTTTCTAGTTGCATGCAAGCACTAACACAAGTAGACAACACATTTACAATCAATTATATTTTTAAAAGATTTTTTAGTCCCATTAATTGTAGTAATGTTTTTCTGAATATATATGTAGTATTAAAACCAAACTAACAACTAAGCTAAATGTCAAATTTGATGATGTTGACATCCATATTTATTTGGCAATATTTTGTTATGGACTGCTTAGGTTTAAGTCTCTTAACGTATTTCCAAGAACATCGTCTGTGCAAGATAAAATAATTTGATTTTACAGTGTTTTTAAAAGTCTGCAAGTTTGCAAACTTAATGGTAATTAAAGTGATCTTATAAATATAACCAATGGGTCTAATTAGATTGACATGGTTTAAACATTTTGTAAAGTTATTTCTTTTTATAAGAGATTACTTCGTTAACTTCACTACAAAGGCCAAATATGACTGGTGAGATCAGACAAAATCGGAAGTTTACTCCTATAATACAAGTGATTCCATTTCTTTTGTTTTAAGAGACCATGATCTCGATATGTATTTGTGAAATTGTTTACTCTTGGTTGTTCATAGTTTAAGATTAAGTTAAACCAAATCCCTTTGTACTCCTTTAATGTTTCACTTTACTAACAGTTTCCTTCTCTCTGCAGCAATATTATGAAAGGGATCGAGGAAGAGATATCTCACCAAATAGGGTAAATATCGCTTATACTGAACAGCCTTCTGAAGCATTGCTTTCACCTATATACATTTTAGTTAGATATCACTTATTGAACAGGCTTCTGAAATATTGCTGTCACATATGTAGGTTAATATCACTTCTTGAACAGGCTTCAAAAGTATTGCTTTCACCAGTGTAGTTAGATATCACTCAATGAACGGTATTTTAAAACATTGCTATCACCTATGTAGATAGATATGACTTATTTTAAAAGCTTCTCAACTATTCTTTTTATCTGAGGGGATAAATTACACAAAATTCTAAAATATAGCTTTCCCCTTAGCCTGTAGGTGTCACCCAGTAAAGAATATTACAGTAGTTCTTAACGTTCTGAAGTTTATAATATTTCACAATCTGTGACTGATTGTCTTATTACAGAAGACTTAGTTCTCAAAGCATTTTGTAATTTTTTTTATTTATTTGAAAGAGAAACAAAAAAGCTAACAAGTCAGTGGTATGTTAAGTATATATAAAGGATAATAGGAGGGTGATGAAGCAATATTTTATTTTCAGAGAGATGATAGAATGTATAAACCGGAAGATGGTCGATACACCTCATTGGATAGGGTATTCATTGTTCATGTCTTTAATCTTAACAACCATAGAGTGACTAAATGTTATATATTAAATGAAAATTTTTACTTCGTTGGTATTACCTAGAAAGTTATTGTTCATAAAAAAAACAAGAAAATGTAATTGTCTTTTAAGAAGTAATGCACGATATAAGCGTAATTATATATCTAATAAAACTTCCATCTGTGTACAGATACATGTTAGGAACAGACATAATAAGTTCCTTTCAGAGTTTAAGAATATGACATATCATTTTCAGAGAGATGACAGAATGTATAATATACGGGACGATGGTCGATACACGTCACTCGATAGGGTACTGTGTCTATGTGTCTGTCTGTGACTATCAGTAGATTGCTTGATTGCTAACAACAGTTTAACCATGTCTCTATTCATATTTACAAAACCTGAGTATTAATCTTGTATTTTCTTTTCATATTATTTACCGATATAATTTGCCTTCTTGCAAAAAAAAAACAATAACAAAAAACAGACACACAATCTAGCTTTGTAGGTCTTATAAAACTATTAATCAACACATAAAAACAGAAACAATCATTAAATGACAAAAATATACACAGAAAATATTTTCAGTTTTAAATAGGAAGCAATAATTAATAAACGAATCATAATTATATGATAATGTGAATTAAAATAGCATAAAAATATAATATTTCACGCAATTTTAATATACTTTTAATTACCTTTTTTCCTTTTCTTCCAGCAAAATCTGAGGTTGAGACGACACGCTTCACTTGATAGGGTATTAAGTAGATATATATCTTAAATGAAAATATAATTAGACTGCTTATGTTTGAATTATACAGAAATACTTCATTTTTGTGCCAAAATTGTATTAAAAAATCGTATATCAACATTTAAAGTGTTGTAAAAATATGCACAATTAAAAGTTGAAGATAAGTATTTTTTCCAATTATTTTGAATAATGATATGAGATTTAAATTTTCAACAGATTAAATTACTTATCGAAAATATTCAATCTTCCAGTATGATTTAATGGATAAACGGAAAGAAAACCTAAAGCAAGTACGTTTTCCTTTATTACAATTTAAAGTGTTTAAATCTTTACAGTTCGAACTTCCAAAACGAAGAAATGCAAGTATTAAACACTTTTTCAAAAATGTTGAATAATGAACTAAAAATATTAAATAGGATTAACAAGGGATGTGTTATGGTCAAAAGGGATAAGAAATTTATAACCAACTAATGATAAAATTAGACATAACATATTTATAACTGCAAAAACTTGGTTTCAGTACATCGCAGATAGGCGGAGGGGGACAGATGAGGGAAGGGTATGTGCGGTGCCAGCTAAACTGTGTTACTAGTATTTCATTCTTTCACACAAGAAACGCCACGAAAGATTTTTTTCACACTCTGCTTTTATCTGCTTTTAATTAGTTTTGTTATATGTTTGTTTTCCTTTTCAGCTTAATCCAATAGAGCGCTTTTCTAATGCTTGACATTTCAGCTTCTTTTACAACACCTGCTTGATCTACATCAATAGTTGTATTATTTCTCTGCTTCTTGCCAGGAAAAGTCTCTTTGAACATGCTGATATTTGAAGTGGTTTAAAATATAATCAATTGTTTGATTAACTATTGTTATTTTTTTCAGTACCAAGACAGAGGAATGAACGGTTCCCCAGAACGGGTAAGAAATATATAGATTTACTTCCTATTTGGAAATTAAACTGAAGGAATGAATCGTCTAAATCAAGGTAAATTAAATTGTTTTAATGTTTCATCTGACCTTTTCTTGCAGTATTACGATAGAGGACGTGACCTTGACCGAGGTCGAGGTTATGACAGAGCTAGGGACGGATCCCCCAGCAAGGTCAGTTGTTTTGATGGAGTCGCCCTCATCAAACCCTGCACAAAATACCTTTGTTACATTTATACTGAGTAAAAATCAAATACAATGTATATAAACAAAATGAAAATTAAAATAGAACATATTTTCATAAAAATCTTCTAAACATGAACAAGATGTAACATAATGGCTTAATTTGTATATAAATATATGCTCAAAATGATTTTGAATCCTTTGCATAAGAATTAGAAATGGTAACTTTTTTGTTAACATTGGAATCAAAGTTTTGAATTTCAAATGTTTATATTATCTGTTTTTCTCAGTATGATTGGACACATCTGTCTTTGTTTTAAATACCCCACATGCCTCTATATTCGTATTTTGGCGTCTTTCTTATTAATTTATTAAGAGAATAGGGAGATAAGTCAATAAAAGTGCCCATAGTTTGAAACACGAAAATAAAGAAGTCAAGATTAAAAATAATCATTTATCTATAAAAGTTCTTTGACATAGTGTAAACATCAGCTTAATATTTCAAATCATGTTGATAATGAAAACGCTGCCCCCGAAATAAAATTTCAAGAATCAATTAAATTTCTTAACAATTTTAAAATACTGTTGGAAATTTCTACTGACATTTTCTTGAATATGCTACGGCAATTTTTCAATTAACATGTGTATATTTCTATCAAATAATTTGATTTGATATTCATATTTGACGAATCGTTTTTTGATAGATTTATATTTAAGAAATCTTCAATTAACATTAACATGGTTTCATCCCCAATATATTGAATGTAAAAAGAATGGATAGAAATTTAATTTCTGATATATTTTATTATAGTTTAGGGAATACGATCAGGGTCGGAATGCGTATAATGGTTATAATGATCGGGTACGTATCGTAAACAAATCCATCATATGATCATTATTTTACAAGTATTCAACTTTCTGTTTTTCAAATTATGTACATGGTGAACAAATTCTTGTAGGGTAATCATTGCTTTAAGTCCCTCTTTGTTAGTAGAAAGGATATCTGTTATTATTGTGTGAGAGAGAGAGAGAGAGAGAGAGAGAGAGAGAGAGAGAGAGAGAGAGAGAGAGAGAGAGAGAGAGAGAGAAATCCATTTTATCAACTATGAGTGAATATTAAATATGTATATTCTGATAAATCATAGTAAATTTTGTGTAAATATCCATCCAATGTTTTTCCTTAGATTTAAACTTTCTTTCTGAATCTTTCCTTCTACTCACTAGTATCTAACATTTAGTATACATGTACCTTGTGATTTCCCTGTACAAGTAACCTCTCTGTACATGTGACTTCTCTGTATTGTCTGCTCTTAACTTTCACATGTGACGTCTTGTGTTTACAGTATTATGATGCATCACGTGATAAATTTAAATATCCAGACTGGGTATGCAAATCAATTTAACACCTAACTGTGTTACATTATTAACAATCTTATAAATTTTCATACATTTATGTGATTCACAAAATCTAGTTAATTATAGATTATATATTAATATTTGTCATCAATTTATAATCACATGTTTTGTTGAATAATAAAAAAGTGATCATATTCAACATTACACTATATTTTAGATGGACTTGACTTAGCAATACATTAGTTTTAGTTTAAGCTTCGGTACAATATAATGTCATTTTTGTTATACGTAGCTAACATCTGCATCATTGTGTGGATTTAGCAGAATATGAGGTTTTCTGGCATCAGATTAACATAACTAAAACTTATACAGTGCACTACAAAGTTCACATAAAACATAAAATTTAGATGATTTTTAAAAGATCACAATTTTTAAAAAATTTTCTGTAGCAAAACTATTTAGATTGTAAATTTTTAGCAATGGGTTCTAAAATACTTCCTTTATCTTAAATTCCTTTAAATTGCATGAAAAAAAGTTTCTTTTTATTTTTATTGCAAGAATATAAATGATAATGAATATGATTTATGATCTTATAAGATTAAGGTTAGATTTGTATTATGACGCTTATATATGTTTCTTTTCTTCAGTACGAGCAGCCAGTACAGCCCGGGATAGAAAGTTACGCGGACCACAAGGTCAGTCAAACACCACGGAACCTTTGACTTATGTTTATGCTTATGTAAAAAACGTATTGTAGGTACTAAAATGTTTGGAACTATAAGAATAATTTTTTTTCTAAACTAGAAAATGGCCGACAGAACAACCTACAAGGATTATGGGGAGGTAGGTTTTTGTGCATAATTTCTTTCACTATATTCATATGAAATCAAAATTTTCAATAAACCTACTGTATTATTATTCAGTTGTTTATACATGTATGTTTCAGTTTCTACAAGAAAAAATCAAAATGGAAGAACTTCGAAAGGTAATGATATTTCACTTTGATAACTGGAAAGGTTTTTATAAATCACTTTCCTCAATTTCCTTTAAAATGAGCTCTAACACAAGTTGATATAATAGCAAGAAAGCAAATCAAAGGAATAAAATAAAATTAAAGTATTTACACTTATTATCTGTGATTACACCATAGAGCTAAATACATACATTAATCAAAGCTCATGTCTTTCTTTAAATTTTTTAAAGTTGTCTCTCTTTAACTTTAAATGTCCGTTAAGATATTCTTACTTTGGTCATTTGTATAGCACGTAATTTGTGAAATATTTGCGAAGATTACTTGACGTTAATTTCAATATAATTTTTCAGCAACCTTTGGAATATCCTGCAGCTAATCTGGTGAGTGATTATGAGTTTTATTATTGTGCATTTTAGGTATGATGAGCAGTACGCTTTTGTTTAATAAATTAAATCAAGATCTCTTTTTCACTTTGTATTGATCCAATCATTTTAATTTTGGGGTTTTCTATTAATTTGTTTAAACGTCTGAAACAGAATAAAGGGATGTATATTTGATGTATATATTTACAAGGAGAAGAAATATTAAATAATTTATTTTCAAAGTTTAGGGGAGAACAAATGATTCAAACACCTAATCATATATAAATTAGGGATACTTTATTTTCTAAATATTCTAGCAAAATGTACATGATTTAATACATTCGATAAATTCCAGCACTTAAATTCCAGCAAAAAATAGATATCAAAGCAGCCTTCGAAAAATCGATCGGTCTTTAACTGAAACATTAAAACAGGAGAAAGGTTTTAACATGGGTTTTGGTACCTAAAATAACTTAAAAATCGATAATGATTGAAAGAAATATTGCGCTTTTGATCAAACGTCAATACTTCTATCTGTTTGTTTACTCCTGAACATGCGTAGACATCGTTAAAGCTACGAACAATTTAAATGTGTTTCAAAAGTCAACGGCGCTTTAACTTGAATGGAGTGTAGGCAAAGTACCTGTCACTTTACATTAAATTTGATTTAATTTTCACGAGGCCCAGATATTTCTGAGATGTGTTTGCTTTTGTCGGGGATTGAGTAAGGTATTAATGGATGTCATCATAGTGTGTCTTTTCTCGTGATTCATTGTCAATTTCAAAAGTAGACTCTGCTCTATTGTTGACACTCTGTAAATCGGATCACATGGCTACCATAGATCCTCTGCGATACACAAACAGCAAGCTAGATACGGTGGAAGCGGGCATAGAGGTTGTGAAAGCAAAAGTGGGACTGGTGGACGAAAAAGTCGGAATAATGGCGGAGGACTGGAAGCTGTATGGCCCGAGAATCAATGCGCTGGAGGATAACATCCATTACCATGACACAAAGATGGATGAGTTCAATACAAGAGAAGGGATCCACTCTGCCAAGCTTAGAACTCTAGAGGAAGAATTATCAAAACTCAGAGCACAAAACAATCGTCTCCAGGATGAGCTACATGTAATGCATAAATCACCTAGGTTTGTCGAAGATGATCGCGAAAAGCGAAAAAATAACGCAACTAATGATAAACATGATAATGAAAAAAGAAATGTGGATTTTCAGAAGGGACAGCTGAGCCACAGAGACACCTATCGGGAGCAGATGTACGGACCGGACAACGAGAACAGGTATTACACCAGGGACAACCAGCGGTTCTCAAACAGAGATAGGGAAAGGGAACTGGAGGCCCAGATTAGACGGGAAATGGGGAAAATTGAAATGCATGACGGGAATTTCAAACCATGGGGAAGAGATGCTTATCAGAATCCCTCACATCATCCGGTAAGATTGCATCATGGACATTTGCTGTCGTCTGCTTTTTAACAACGACGTCATTGTTTTTGTAGCAATTTCATCGTATATCCGTTTAGCCATTTCATTCTTTTCATGTAGTTTAGAGGGCAACATGGACTTCAAGATTTTTCAAATGGACAATCAGAGCCAATTTGGCTAAATGGATTGGATTTCAGAAGAGTTTTCCTTCTCTAAAATTGACTGCTATGGAAATATATCTTCTCTTCACATATCATTCAATAAAATTTCAAGCGCTCACAGCCACAGGGAAAGTAAACTAAAGTGGAATTCCTAGGTTGCCTTAAAACCAGTGTACAGGTTAATGCAAGGAGATTTGGATGGATGATACAAAAGATAAATATTAGCCATATCTTAGTTTCGTAAGCGCTAGTTGATTTCCTTTTATTGATACATGGACCGTTAATCACCGTTTGATTATTTTCTTTACGTGGTCGTTGTCATAGCATGATGTACCTCAATGAAAAGATCCTTTGAGAAAATTTTCTGAGCGAGCTTACAATACGATTGAACTCCATTTCAGTCCGAGGAAGAAAATTATATGCGTTTTCTTTGTGTACATTCGTTTCCAAATCCGCGTAAAAATCAAACACAAAAAGATTTATTAACATAACCGACGATATAGCATTATGCTTCACACATTTTGATGATAAATTTTTGCAGAAGTAAAGGCAAGGCACGGAAGTTAACAAAAATTATAAAACAGCAATTAAATTCTTTAAATCAAATATCAAATAGCAGTAGAAATGAAAAGAAGATCTTTATATTTTTGTTCCTTTAGGGGATATTAAAATTCGTGATATTTTATGCACTTCATTCATATGTTTGTATAGAACTCTTTCAAGCTTACATGCAATTATTTATTTCAACCTGGTCTTGGTTCCTTTAGAATTTTATATCAATACTGCCTTTACAGGTTTCACTATTGATTTTACGTGGTATCTTTTATGAGATTTAGCTTGATATTGGATCTGTCTATCGATATCCCAAGTAATCGATACGGCTTCCATTTGTAGGGCCCTAACTATGTAAATGACCGCTACTTACGCCCAGAGGAGCGCCAGGTTTGATTCTTTTCGTGGGCTTATGTTCTTTACACGTCATCTGTATATAATCTCAGTCATTTACTCATCATCTCAGTCATTTATCCATAAATCATTTCAAAAAAGGCTTAATTTAGAAACATTTATATAAAAAACATTTTTGTTTCATATTCCATATCGTTTATCACGCATCTTCATTATGCTTTGTGCAGGTTCGTTTTTTCGCATATTCATCAAGTGTATGCTTTATTTCACGAATGCTTGTATTCAGAAGTACTTTGTCGACGTTATTTCTTTGAAATTTGAATGCACAATTTTTGGATCAGTTGCAAAATTATTCAACATTTCTTCTTAAGAGAACTGAAAGTAAATCATGTCTGTGTGGAGTGGTTGTTGTAAACAGTTTGCATTGTGATGTCTTTTACTCTGAAAGTTTTTCTATTCGTAATTTACTAATTTATCAAGTGGAGAATCATATTTGAAATTTGAATGTTTAAAAAGTATGATTTTTCAGTTACGACATCAACTGGACTACGACAAGTCTCCTGTGACTGAAAGCAAACCCGAGAACCAGGTTTGTCACTGAAGCCCAGCTTAGGTGTTGTGACCTGTACAATTCTCCTCAAAACAATAGCATACATTATTCAGATCATTCAAAGTGCATGTTGGTGTGATTAAAGAAAGCAAGACCTTGCTTTTACCTAATTAACAGATATATTTTTGGATTTTCTCAGGCACCATGTTTTTTCTTTAGTGTTGAATTATAAATTCTTGTTTGAGAACATTTACATACCTACGTTCAAAGAAGCAGGTGCCCTTGAGTAACCAATAAATGCAGTATAAATCAAATAAATCTTTATTTAGACAAACTTCCTATCATGTTTACTCACCTTACATTCTCATTTCTTCCACAATCTATACAAATAAGACATATAAGGTGTATTGACATTGAATTTAATTCTGCAAGCGATACAATGTCATATATCAAAATGAGTCCAATAAATACATGACCGTCTTAAATTGAATGTTACATATCTTACTCTGTAAAAGATTTCACATTTTTTAACAATTAAAATTGACATCTTTTTCATTATTCTCTGTCTCTTTGTTCATTTTCTCCGGTTATACTCTTAAAAATCAGATTTAAGCTAAGTAAATAAAATAAGAATGGTGTTCTAGTGTCTGCATTAAATATTCTTGTAGGATGTTAGGCCCCAGACTGAACCAGCCCTTCCAATTCGGTCTGATTTCGAGGTATATAATCCGTATCATCGTGTGACGCTTTGGTACACAAGGATGAATCTATGAACTGTCATGTTTTTGTGTGTATGGTTCACGACGGTTTTGCACTTGAATCAAAGTATAAATATATTCATTGTGTACTTTCCAAACTCTTGAGCATCAAACTGTATATATATTTATTTCTAGCACATCGGGTATCACCGGGGCGTGTGCCAGTATATTGTATGCATCTGTATAGGAATGGCGTGTATACAGAACAAATTATCAACATTGTACCTTTATTTCTATTGATATGTTTTGCAGCCCAAGTCTACCAACAGTGGTGTCTACCTCTTTGTCAGAACCAATAAACTCGCCAAGGCTGATGTTGTTAAAGCGCTTCAGGAGGGACGTTCTGTTCTCGCCAACTCGTACGGACAACTCAAAGGCATCGCCACTAGTAGAGAGGTAGGCCTTACTTCAGTATCAAGACATAGATAATTAAGGTACATTGGTGTGATTTTGCAAGCAATAATGCATTCCCAAGTTACTGGACGAAATACTGCTGGAAAAGCTTACTATAACACTTACCGCGATTTCGAAAATGCTGCGACATGGTCTAAATTCACGATAAATTTTGGCTTCTTGAACAGGTTGGTTTTTATTCATAAAAAATCATGTTAACAACTTCAAAATTAATGATATGATGCGACTGCTTTAAGACTGGTTAAATTTCTTCAACGTCGCAGCATTTTCATCCAAAATTTATCGTGTTTTTCGTGTTTTTGACCATGTCGTGCTTTTTCGAAAGAAAATAAAAGAAGACAGAAAATGGAGAGTGTGAGTAGTTTATCTATCATATATGTAAATATAATTGACAGTGAAATATATAACGATCTGCAGATTTAACCAAAATTTTCTTTTTTCTTTCAGATCAATCTTTTAGAGGGCCGCGCCGATGGATGGACACACAAACCATCGACAGAACCCAACAAAGTTTGGGATATCGATGATATAGTGATCATCGTCTGGTTCCCGACAAGCAAGGAAGCGGAAATGTGGCTTTGTCACGAGAAACACTTTCGGAACGCATCTTTTCCAGAATTCTATGGGTCAGACATTGTTGTCTTGCCGATTAACTGGAACCCAACAAATGGTAATTTGATTCTGATTATGATTAACATGTATTTCATTTTATTATATTATTAAACTTTAACAGAGAGAAAACGGTTCCAACATTGTTAAAATTAAAATATTTAATATCATTCTCTATGATTCTTTTTAGATCGCCATTACCCTACATTCTTAGTGACAGAATACGAAGGAATCGTTGATCCCGATCAATTCAGGGAAAAATTTGTCACGAACATGAATGGCGTTTTGCAAAAACATAAAGCCGAGCGTTTTGTCATCCAGACAGTGGGGATCAAAAATCTCAGAGGAAACTGGTTTAAGAAGAGGAGTGTGGTTACATGCAATAGGTTCCCTTCCAGCGAAGCGGCCTACCAATTCTACAACGATCGTAAGTACAGAAGAAAGTAGTCAGGCAAATAGCCCGCCTTTGCTTCTCTATGCTATTTCAAGTTTACTGGACAAATTTGACCAAGTTGTTGAGTAACAACTTTCTTCTGTTTCAGCTGAATACGAGAACCTCAGAAGATCATTGCGGGACATATCTAAAAATAGAACCACTGTAATGTTCACTCTAACAGAACGTCCTGTGTGATCACGTGACACTGGGATCGACTGTTGCCAAAAACACTCTACAAAGTCTGTGATATTTTTAACACATTGGATACGAACCTGTCGCCTGGTAGTTGTTGCGAATGTAACTTCTGATCAGTATTATTCGGGAGTAGTCAGCTTTAACCCTTACATTATTCTTGTCTTTTACATTTTATTTCCATGAAAAAAAGGGTTTAGGAATAGAACGAAAACTTACAATAAATATCGCTAAGAAATAAAACAAAACATAGTTCAGATTTATATGTTCTAGTTAGAGTATGTGTAAATATATATACAACACATACAAAGGAAGGCTTCCTGTTAAAAGATCTATGGTTTGTTTTAAATCGTGTAGTCTTTTGCTACAATATTGAGAAATAACTCTACTAAACTTTTATACTAATATTCTTCCAACCTTTCATAGAGTTTCATATTTATATATTTTACATTTCATTTCTTGCACCTGTGTAAATTATTTATTTTTCACTATTTATTTGCTGTATGTATTGGGAAGGTATTCTTGAATAAAAGAATAAAAACAGTTAATCATGTTTTTCTTGTTAAATTGTATACAATCATAACTTTATCGATTTTTATCACCAAATAATTTAATTTTAGTTGTAACCCGTCAGTTGATTGGGTAAAAGATTTAATCCATTTTGTATAACGTAAGTTGCCTACGTCACAATGAGTTACGTCAAAAACGTATTACTCCGCTTGACGTTACTTTTAAAATTTGCTGAATTTGAAGCCTTTTTCTGGAGGAAAAATTGTCTCATTGTCAACACTGAAATTAAATTATATTGGGGCGGTTTACGCTTTTTATATTCCGCTTCGGGGTTTATAAAGCGTAAACTCCCCCAAGTTATGTCATATCGGATAACATAAGTTGAAATAAGCTTCATTCCTTAAATACTGAGTAAGCATATGACATATACAAGTATTTAAAACAAACTGTATTTTGGCCAGCTTCAGAGATATTTAAACATACCAATATATGGTAATATGACCTTTCAATTTTTATAGACTTGCTGTTCTCCATATCAAAGCAGGCCATCTATTGAAATAAAACATTTACCATATTGAAATAATTACTTTTATGTGATAAAAAATATCTATTTTTTTTTTAAAGCAATTTTTTAAATCGACATAACATCATGTTATAGGATATTTGGATTTAATAATATCTTTTATTATATGATAGAATAATTTCCATCTCTCCGATTGGCTGAGATCCAACTATGTTAGAAAAATACTACGTTGTATTGACCTGCACGTGACGTTCCAGGTCAATACAAGGATTTATTTCCTCTACATTGATCTAAAAATAGATTGGGAAATTCCAAATTGATACAAATTGATTTGGAAAGCTATTTAAACTACTATAACTTTTTTTTTCATGTGAAGAAAACATAAGCGAATATATATTTTCGGGTGAGGATGGTAAGAGGGGATGCAGGGACACTCCTCCAACACCTTTACTGAACAACAATTTTTACTTTTTGGCAGTCAGTTTTCCCTGATAATACTCCTTCCATTAAAAATCTATCCTAGAAAAAAGACTGACATTTTTTTTTCATGGCAACAAAAATTGATTAAAAAAAACTTTAAAAAAAATAAATACGACCTGTAAGGTTGATTAACATTTTAATTCTGCTTCTCTCTTAATTGTATTTGGATAGGACTTAATTAAATGCAAACAAGTAATGGTTTTATCATTTTATTAGTGAATCATATAATAAAACAATTATTGCTGTTTTTTTCAAATGATTTAGCCATCTTCGAATACAATATCACCTCGCCCTCCGGGCTCGGTGAATATTGTACTCCTCAGATGGCTAAATCATTGTATTGACCTCAAAACACAGCAATAATTGTATAATATTTTTGTTTGTGTATTTCAGTTGACCACATCCGCGTTATTGTAGGCTAAAACACAAATCTACTTGATTTGGTTAAACCTTGAATGAGCCTTTATCAGTTTATTTCTGTGACATGATTTTATTATAAATTAGAGTAATCTATTGCTTTTATTCAGCGAAAACAATTTACCATTTATTCTTTTTGTAACTTTATCTCTATTATTTTAAACAAAGCTAACCTTATAAAGACTAATTTGGATAATGATGACAAAGCCTTTTAACCACATTCTATAATACATAATTCAACTTCAATGTCACAGTATAGACATGTAAAAGATATTAGTCGATACTGCAATGTTAGGTGTATCGAAATATTTTTCAATTCTTAAAACGTAATTAAAGGTAATTTATGTTTTTGAACTTGTCATTATCATCTACAAAATTCTCTGTTAAAGTCTTCAATTCTTCACACAAAAGCTGATTTGTTTCCACATAAAAATATCTCTATATTCTTTAAAAATTCAGTTCAAATTCCCATGGGCATTGCATCCCTATATTAACTGTTTTTTGTTCTCTCTAAAAACAAATTCGTTCAAAAATTTTTACGAGGAAATATGCCTTGTTGAGACATTGGGTTGGTTGGACATAAAAGATATCGACGACGCATTATCAAATTACAATATAGTTTCTTCCATTCAAATGTCAATTCGATATATCTCATGAAGTGAACTTGAAATAAACAGGTCGGGTACACTACCTTATATGGAAGACAATTTTTAAAACGTAACGATGTTTTCGTCACACCCGTTCTCCAATCAAATGAATGAGTACCAAAGCATGACAGCGTACTATGTGTTTACGATTCAATAGCGACATGTGGTTTTCGTCGGTTTACTGCATTATATTTACTTCGTCACCGGAAAAACTGTAGAGTTTCTTTTTCACTGTATAAGGCCAAAATTGACAGATTATATTCCAAAGACACGGCTCCATACTCACATTTTATATTGGAGTTGTATTAGATGATTAGTATTTTCTTCAAATACCGTGCAAACGCTTTGACATTTGCATGTACGTAAAAATTTTTGATAATATTGATGGGTTAATTAATAGTTGTCCATCGTGTACTGCTGTCTAAAACTACGTACACGTATATCACGTGAAAAAAAACCTCTCAGTGCTTTATCGACACGATAGCACCTACGTCTCTATGAACAATGGTATAGGCCGATGTATTATAAGTTGATATAACGCTTCATAAAGCAAATTTTGTAAATGTGTTCATAAAAATGAAAGATTATACACCATTTTAAATATTTCTTTTATAAATCTCAAAAAAGAATTTAAAATAAGTTTCCAAGGGACAATTCAAGTTGCCCTTTATTTTCAACACAACAGGGTACTTGTAGTAGCCCACAATGCTTTGTGACTCCTTCATCAGTGAGCAAAGTAAACAGATAGCTAATTTACATTCAAATTAATGCTGACGTCAGAAAATCTAGTGGTCTCGACCTGATAAAAGATACAACAGATTCTGATACATCTGTTTCGAATTAAATTAATTGATAGAAAAATACTTTAATGGTTATCAAACAACAAAATTTTATGATATAACTGATGACTTCAACTTCCCCAATGCAGCTGTGTGCCCATATCACTTGCATTCGGCGTTCATATCTTCAGCTGATGCGATACACGAGAGCATGCTCTATAAAGCAATCAATTTTTAAAACGGGGTAAATTATTGACAACCAAATAAATGAAACTAGTTTATCGAAGAAATCAAGTTAAACTCATCATTTGACAAGTTCTATGGTCAATTCAATGACCCTATCAGCAAATACAAAATATCATTAAGTTAAATGATGATTGACATACTTTTGTTTTTGCACTCTTAGATGTCAACGGACATTGCCGTTATTTCCTGATCATAACTTGAGCTCACGAAGGGTGCGACTTGTTGGCAGGGGATGCTCACTCCTCTTTGATTCCTGATCCCATCTCTTTTGACTTAATTAGAGGTTCGTGTTTGCTCTGCTCCTGAATTGTATATCGGTTGAATGGATTTTGAGCTTGAATACTATTTGTTATCTCTATATAATTCACTGTAGTTGATTTTTTGTCGCCAAGTTGATTCGAGGAGATACACAAGTTGTAAGTGCAAACATTTCTAAAACGCATTCAAATATATGGGTTGATGATCAAAAATTCAACGCATTATACTTTAAATTTCGATATAACAACTTTGTATCACAGACACAATCCGTGGTAATCGGACTGCTGCCTTTTCATGCAATATGAAGATAACATACGGTAATCATGCTCAAAAAGTTCTTTAAACAATATAAATCAGGAACAGAGCAAGCGAATACCAGAGATGGAATCAAGTGCCATGGAGGAGTAAGCATCCTATGTCGACCGGTCACACTCTCTGGATGCTCTTTGTCATGATCAGGTAAACGGAACAAATCCCTGGGAAAAAAACATCCGTAGACACTTCATTTAAAAAAAAATGGCAATTTTTAATAAAACGCTATTCAAAATTCCACTTAATGATAGATTGTATTTGTTGACAAAGTCCTTCTATCAATTCTATGAACTACTATTGTTTGCAGCTAACTGTAAAGTTTCACATTACTTCACGATCTTTTTCGTCAGATGCATCCAGCGTAAACAGTTCACGTGATTGGTCGACTCAAATTATCAACATTGACACGGAAATAGTTTGTTGCACGAGAAACCAATCAAGGATAAGAAGAAAGTTCCAGTCGTAAAGCTTGCGGTTAGGAGGCCTGTACAATTTACCTTGAGAGCAGCTGTCAACTAGATCGTGACGTAACGTGAAACTTTACAGTCGACTGTAAAACAATAGTAAAGAATTTGCGAAATTCAGCGAGCTTTCAGCGAGACTGTTGATATCCTCGTTTCATCATTATTTGTCCATAGTTTGTCTTTTTCAGGTTTTGTTCGTACGTAGAGTATGTTCTTGCTTATCAATTCAAATAGAAGACAAACTCTGTATGCAGTGATATTGCATAAGGGTATATTGCTGCATAAATAAGGGAACTTGGCAATACAATTGTTAAAGTCTTCACCTTATCATTAAGTAAATATTCAATTTAGTGTTAAAACAGATTTGTCAGACTCTGTGGTGTTTAAATTTTGAGTTCATAGGGATACATGGAATCAACATAGGAATGAAAATGAATATTTTTCGTCAGTAGAATATCGTCGCTATATTAAAATATTTAATTGAAGGCCATAGCGAAGTGCTTTTTCATTCCACGCAGAAGGCGTTTTAGGAATTTTCTCCTTTACATGAATACAAACATACATCTGCAAATAATGAATCGCAATAAGTTCCCATGGAAATTCTGACAAATTGTTGGAAACTTGATTTAAAGTATAGTACAAAGATATTGTCAATCATAAACCCAACCATCTTTCGAATAACATTTTGAGGCCAATAAGTGTATAAACCGAATGTTTTAATGTGAATAAACTAGTTCCATTTAAAGAAAACAATATTCTAAAATGATTTTGGTAAAATTTGGTGATTGTTAATAAATCCACGAATTAAGATCCTCTTTAACAATAGCCTTGTCAAAGTATCGTGAAATACTAGTAATGTCCCCGCAAATTAGCAAAAATGTTTTGTTCAGAAATATCTTATTCGCAGATCAATATGAATTCACGTATCATTCGTTATTTTTTACATTTCTTTGAAAAAGTAAATGTAAAATGGTAAAATCTTTCTCTGATTAAGTTAAGTTAGATGTGAAGCGAGGAATAACGAAAAGACAAAACATTATTTTCCGCTTTGCCATGTTGACAAGAAATTGGTAAGACCTGGTTAGCAATGCCACGAAACAGAGAGCTTTGCTTTTGCAAATTATTTTTTATATTAAAAAAGTCAAGCTTGAAAAGAAATGAATGATCGTGCATCCTTCTGCTTATTTTTACCTTTTTATCAAAACTGTTACTAGAAGAAAACACTTGCTGTGGCCTTCAACTTGACATTTAGATATATCGACGACGCATTGTCAATTAACAATGGTCATTTCCATTCCTACGTCGATACGATATATCCTGGTGAGCTTGAAAAAAGATACGACAGAGTCTGACAAATTTGTTTCGTACTTGGATATTTGACTTGAAAAAGACTTTAAAGGTAATCTAACAACCAAGCTATATGATAAACGTGATGACTTCAACTTTTCTATCGTCAACTTCCCTTACTTATGCAGCAATATACCTTCATCACCTGCATACGAGGTCTATATATTTCAGTTGATTCGATACGCAAGAGCATGCTCTATGTATGAACAATTTCTAAAACGAGGTAAATTATTGATAATTTAACAAGTTGATGAAACAAGAGTATCAGCAGTCTCGTTTAAAGTCATCATTTCATAAGTTCCATGATACAATGACCTTGTCAGCAATACAATTTATCATTGAGTCGAATGCTGACTGACGTTTTTCATACCAATTGTTAGTCCATTATTCATACACCGAATTGAGACGGATTTTTCCGTTATTTCACGATCATGACAATGAGCACACGGCGATTGTGACCGGTCACATGGGATGCTCACTCCAGCATGGCACCTGATCCCACTTCTGATGTTTCGGAGGTCCGTGTTTGCTCTGCTCCTATTTTGTATTGTTTTATGGACTTTGATATTGAATACAGTTTGTTATCTCCATATCCTTCTTCCAAGTAACAGCTAGCTTAAGAACATTAAGGGATACAATGTATCTGTGTTATGTCTTTATAGATTCAATTGCTGGAGGGAAACGAGGGTTGGGATATCCATGCTCACATCACACGCACCGGCGACTACTGGTTAGAGCAGTCCCGAGAGTCCACAGAAATCAATGACATCATCATCGTTATCTGGTTCCCGACCTTTAACGATGCGGAGAAATGGGTCATCAGCGAAAAGCACTTCAAGATCTCTAACTACCCTGACCCGTACGGAAGTGACGTTTTAATCCTGCCGTTAAATGATAGTCAGCCTCAGGGTAAGGCTATTTTGTGAGAGAGTGATAGCTAATGATTTAAACTAAGCAATTCTAGAAATAAAAATATATTTTCATTAAATTTTCTCTGTTTGTTGAGCTTAATAAGATTATAATTTAGCTTCCTTCTTTTCAAAGTAAAAAATATTTATTACCTGGAAAAACAATTTCGTTCTCTACAGAATTTTGCTGCAGAAATCTTGTTTTATAATAAATGACCACAAGGTCCGTTCAGTCTAAAGTTTCTTAGCTATAAAAAAAATTTAAAGGAAATATTTTTGTCAAAGATTTCAAATTATATATTCATTTATTTTGATTATGTATGTATTTGACAGAGAGGATAGCGTACACGTACTTAATGACGGAATATCCACGGACAATGGACTCGGATCATTTCCGTGACGTCTTTGCTCCTAGGATTCGGGCTCTACTCCAGAAGAAGTACGGTATAAATGAGTTCTTCATCCAGTCTGTCGGTGCCAAAGTGATCCGCGGGAGCTGGCTTAAAAACAACAGTATTGTCACCGGCATCCAGTTTCGGAACCGGCGGGAAGCCCAGGATTTCTTCTTTGACCGTAAGTATTTGACTTTATACGTGTATTGGTTGATCTTCTTTGGCCGGAAGTATTGGACTTGATACGGTGTATTGGTCGAGTTAGTGTGACTTGTTCACAAAATTACAGTTAGTCCGCAAGTTTCAAATTAAATATAAGGATAGCGCTGATTTTTACAATACTTATTCTGAAAAATCAAAATGGCCACTCAATACTCAAGTATCCTCATCATTCTTTTGCTTTTTTGCTTGCATTACTATAAGATAGAGCTATGGGAATGCTTAATTCCCCCGTTTTTTTGCAATAAAAGTATCACGTTCTTTTGGCCGTCTACAAAATGAAATAAATTACATTGAACAGTTTTAATATATGATTATATATTATTAATAATTTTCTTTAATTTTCAGCTGAATATAGGCAAATCCGCCAGGACATTCACAGACGCATCGAAAACCTTCCGTTTTATACTAACAGGTTCAAACCGGTTAGTTTCCTGTTTACCTTGGATGCTTACGTGTAAACTTCCGGTAAGCCGAGGACAGTCTTTGTAAACCCCCTGTTTACGTTGGATACTTAGTGTAAACTACCTGATATGTACGTGTTACCTAGGAGATTAAGATTTCTTGACCGAATTCTTGACAGCACGATAGTAAAGTGGACTATATTATATAAAGAGTAATTATGCTTTTTAATCTATTCTGAGTCATAATATATTTCCTACACTGCAATTCACATTTCTAAGTAGAGTAGAATAGTGTTGCAAACACAGCGTAGAATTCATCAGGAATGTCACCCGTCCAGTGTTAAGACAGCCCCACGTTGTATCTGTTGTTTTCTGTAGTCTAGCTGTACACCGCTGGTGTAGGGGTGTGTTGTTGGATGGAGAATGGGAACCAGTTTATCTCCAGTGTCTCCTTAGTGCTCATATTAACATAAATCATGTGATATCTATACATTTGTTATCATTATTATACAGAAATCAATATTTTGTATTACGTTTTATTAAATATATTCTGATATTGCTAGTTTTTCTTTCTCTGACATTTTATTCTAAGAAGAAAAGAAAATAACATGTAAGCACTGTCTATTTATGTATACAAAAGCAGTTAAAGGGGAGGGTGAGCTATTTGGTACGATGATAAAAATGATGTATTCAAGAGGTATAATGAAAAATATAGGGATAACGAACAGTATTCAAGGTCAAAAGTCCATCAAACATTACAAAATACATGTAAGAGCAGAAAAAACACGGACCTCCAAAACATTAGAGCTGGGATCAGCTGCCATGGAGGAGTGAGCATCCCCTGCTGACCGGTCACACCCACCGAGTGATCCTTGTCATGATCAGAAAATAACAGAAAAATATGTCGTCAATTCACTTTATAAATAATGGACTTACAATTCGTATGAAAAACATCACTCAGCATTTGACTCAATGATAAATTGTATTTGCTGACAAGGTCATTGTATCGACCACAGAACTTACGAAATGATAGCTTTAAACGAGACACCTGATATTCTTGTTTGCCAATAATTTACCTAGTTTCAAAAATTGTTCATCCGCAGAGCATGCTCTTGCATACCGAATCAACTGAGATATATAAACTCCGTATGCAGGTGATGAAGGTATATTGCTGCATGAGTAAGGAAAGTTGACGATAGAAAAGTTGGAAGTCATCACGTTTATCATATAGCTTGGTTGTTAGATTACCATTAACGTCTTTTTCAAGTCAAATATCCAAGTATGAAGCAGATGTGTCAGACTCTGTCTGTGGTATCTTTTATCTCAAGCTCACCAGGATATATCGTATCGACACAAGAATGAAAATTATCATTTGTTAATTGACAATACGTCGTCGATATATCTTAATGTCGACTTGAAGGCCACAGAAAGTGTTTTCCTCCTTTCCAAAAAAGAACTTAACACATAATTTGATGTGAATAAAAGTATATTCAACAACAATCATACAATACATTTAACTTGGAACATGCGCAAAAGCAGAATAAAAGAACATGAATATCTTAACAAGATAAAACATTCGTCTATAGAGCTCAGTTCTCAAAATATTTACAAAGTGACAGATAATATTACTTATCAGACATTTCTCTGTCTGAATAGAATTCAGTAAATTCAATTCATCTTTACAAATGTATAATTCAATTGCATTACATGAAGTATTCATAATCATATACAAATAAGTCAGTCATATACAGGGATTCGAAATAAGTCCAAAGAGGCATAATTATCGATGGTTGCTTACGTGAAATTTGGAATACTGTATTTGTCAATTATTCTCATAAACCTTATTTTACTAAACATAATTTTATGCTTTGCATGTTTTTATCTTGTAAAAAATGTTATAGAAACAACATTGAGACAAAACATATCAATATAAAATAAATTTCTTCGCACAAAAATAACAGAACAAAACAAATATATTCAACGCAAAAGATTATCAGTGCGTGTCGTTATGGTATTGCATTAGTGTAGTTCGTTATTTATATCGAAATTATGTTCAAACTTCCTTAACAAGCTGTTAAAATATTTGTTTACCAAAATGATTTATTACATTAAAAGCACTGTTTAACAGTATAAAAAGAAGCACCATACTTCCATTTTCTCAATGAATATCTAATTACATAATTGAATTTTACGAGAGTTGTTCATTTCTGCCATCTGGTGTTCTTCTTATTTCCTTCTCTTCACCGGAAGTTCGTCTTCTCTGTAAGATGACAACCAAAACCAGGACTACGCCAATCAAACCAGCGGTAGCCGGAAGTAGTGTATAGAGCATGGAAGAATTCTGGTCTCTTTGCTGACCAGACTGGAAATATGAAATTACAGATCTAGATTGCAGTCCTTTTATATGTTCCTCTTAATGTCCATTTTATTAACGCATTTAAAAAGTGAACTGTAAAAAGGCAATGTTTCTGCCTATCTTTAAGTTTTGGCAAAATTATTTACACTATTCTTAATCTCGATACCAGCAAAAAATTAATACAATAATATATATTTCAAAAATAAATATTTACATTTCTAAATGAACTAAGCTTCTTCCAGGGTTGGTAAAGAACCAAGTCATCTGTATCCCTTTTTCTTCTTCCTAAAATGTATAAATATCAGCTGCAGTATGTGTAATGTAATAAAATAATAGCTCAGCAATCTACAAATATGGAAATAAAATATTCGAGCGCTATACCCCAAATATTTAATCTCTTATTTCAATTAATAAGTGTATGTTCCTAATGTAAGCAGGCACTTCTTCTGCAACAAAAAATAGCTCTTCCGGGCCCGAAACGGAGATTAACAATAACTTTGCGTTTTTATATTAAAAACTGCAATTTTGTGTATTGAAATAGTTCGATCAATATCTAATGCAATAAAAAAAATCGCAAGACCCAGGTAGTTAATGTAAAGAGTAAGAATTTTTTAAGAAAAGAAAGGACCTTTATCCAGACTCTGCTTTAGACAGGTCGCCTTTGTAGAGTTCTCCAGACGATCATAAAACGGAATCCCTGAATTACAGGTGCCCTTCACGAGGAAGGCTATGTGTATATCCTTCTCGGCAGCTATCTGTAAAATGACGTGTTCCAGTTGTGAATCTTTTGGATCAGCATCAGAGTAGAAAAACAGACATGAACCCGGTCTGATTATTTTTAAAGCTGTAAAGGGAAACGAAACATTTCTCAAGAATAATTTGGAAAAAAGTGAAAAAAAAGAAAAACATTCAGTAAGCTCACTAAAGTAAAATTGAATTAACATCTACACTGTACCTTCTAATAATCCAGTGAAGGAGTATTCAGGACAGTCCCCTCCGCCATCTTGTTTAAGATTCCTTATCCAGGTTATCATTTCATATCCGTCCGTCGTGTTTCTTACGGTGTTTAATGACACTAAAATTTAAAATTCAGATATAAATAGTCAAAAACGTAATTTAAGAGAAATAATTAAAAGAAAAGACATACACTTTTCTTTTTAAATTGGCCAATTTTTTGTATGTAATGTTTTTACAACTGACACCCAGGTCATGTTCACAGCTTATCATAATTAACAACAAGAGGCCCAGGGGCCACATCGTTCACCTGAGCACATCGGCTAGGGAAAAGCACAAATCAGATCAGAATTGAAAAGTTTGCTGAGGGGGTGGGGGGGGGGGCTTGAATTCTAATTCTTCTTGAGAATGCCTCCATATCAATTCTGCATATAACTTCTTGAGAAAGTTCTTGAGAAAAAGATCTTTAAAGATTATTTTTAACATTTTGTTTGTATATACTACTTTGTAATAATTTGAATTTGACTCCCCATTGTTTCCCTCCCTACCCCAAAGGGTACTCATGATTTGAACAAATTTAAATCTTCAATACATGAGGATGCTTACATGTCAATATGACTTAACATAGCTTTTTCTTTTATTTTCCTACATAAAACTTTGATCCACCATTGAGACCCTTCCCTACCCTTGGAGGTTATGATTTGAACTAATTTAATTCTAAATTTAATTCTACACTACCTGAGGATGCTTTCATATTAATATCTCTAATCATGGCTTTGCTATTCTTTAGAAAAAGATGTTTTAAAATTTATTTTAATGTAAAACTTGGATCTCCCATTGTGGCCCCACCCTATTCCTAGGGGTTATGATTTGAACAAACTAGAATCTACATTGCCTCAGGATGCTTCCATATAAATATCACTAATCATGGCTTTGTAGTACTTAAGAAGAATTTTTTTTTAAAGATTTCCCTATATATTTCTATGTAAAACTTTAATCGGCCATTGTGGCCCACCCTACCCCCAGGGGTCATGATTTGAACAAACTTGAATGTACACTATCTGAGGATGATTCAACATGATTTTCATCTTTCCTGTTCCAATGGTTCTTGAGAAGAAGATTTTTAAACTTATTTCCCTATATATTCCAAAGTAAAAATTTGATCGGCCATTGTGACCCCACCCTATCCCCGGGAGTCATGATTTGAACAAACGTAAATCTACACTACCTGAGGATGATTCCACATGAGTTTCATCTTTCCTAGCCCAGTGGTTTTTGAGAAGAATATTTTTTAAAAATGCCATTAATTTTTCACTTATTCATAATTATCTCCCCTTGGAAGAGGGCGTGGCCCTTCTTTTGAACAAATTTGAATCCCCTTAACACAAGAATACTTTGTAGCAAGTTTGATTTAAATTGGTCTAGTGGTTCTTGAGAGGAAGATGAAAATGTGAAAAGTTTACAACAACAACTACGACGACACACAACGGACGAATTTTGATCAGAAAAGCTCACTTGAGCCTTCGGCTCAGGTGAGCTAAAAACAGAAAGATATCACCTGGATCACTAAATGTGGACAAGATGAAGTCTGAAGGCGTGGTCTTGTTTTCTAGGAGAGCTGATTGGATTGTCTCTGTTACTTTGGTTTTTATTTCCTCAAAGTCAGTTGACATTGACAGTGACGTATCGATGACGTATGCAAGTGTTAATCCGGGTTTCAGACAGTCTTTACAAGCTACTGGTAGTCCAATCAGTTCTCCAAATAGTCTGGGTCCAATTTGATCAAGAAGTCCAGTGACTGAAAACGGGTAGAAATCTTTATATCAGAGAGCGAGAGAGAGAGAGACGCGCTAAACTAACTTAAGACGCATATTTGTTAACATTCTCACCTATCCCAACAACACACTTTGTAACTTAAGTAAGAATGATACCAGAAAATTTGGGCAGTACGATTTAGAGAATTTTACCCTCTCCGACAAAGAACTTCATAGTCGCGTCTATTGCAGCCTCCCCCGCGGCGTGATGGAGGAAGAAGTGGGGGGACAGATTGGAGTCTGACGTCTCCTTGTTGATTCCTCCTATAGGATTCACGGCGGAGAAAGCATCGTTCTTTCCTCCATGGCTACACTTTCCTATTCCTGCCGTGTTGTTTCCTTGTAGAGGAAATTGTAGCAATGTTACGTATGTAATCGTTAAAAGAACTTTATTCGGTAATAACCAATATTTGCCCCCAAAATCAAACTTTGAGGGAGAAATATTTCATTATGTTCTTAAACAGGATGATATATGCTGACTTCAAAGCGCTGAATATTTTCATAAACAATGACGTCATATGTTAGAGATGACGTCACGAAAATGACGAAAATTTAAAAGTTCCACGATTTCTACAGAAAAAATATATATAAAGTCGATATTTTTAGTAAAAATCACAGAGCGCAGGTCTGATCAGGCTCAATATTTTGATATAATGTGTAGAATGATAATATCAATGAAATATGTAAATATTGTTCCTGAGCAAACTTGCGCTCTGTAAATTCTAAAGCTAAATTTGTTGAAATTTTGTCCATTTTGTCATCTTTCTAAAAATAATATAAAATCGGACTAGTTTGTGACGTCATAAAAACAAAAATTGATTAACTACTTTGAAACTATTATATATTCCGTAAATTTATATTTCTTATACAATTTATAGAATTCAGCACATTTGAAGAATTTTTCAAAATTTGACTTTTGTGGGGGCAAAGATAAGCAGTATACTGCATATAGTTCTGTGGTTTTTTTTTAGAAGATATAAAATGGTCCGTAAGAACAAGGTATGAAATTAACTCACCGGTAGGTTTGGGGATGCCTTGAGAACTGAGATATCCACTCGTTAAATATTGACCGTTCACCAGTATGTTGTTCTGACAAGAGTGTTTGTCGATTCTGGGAGTGTTTGAATTGTAATCAAAATTAATTTAATTATGTTTACATATGAAATATAAATTGGTGAAAATTTTACGATATTAAAAAAGCTATCTAAAAATGTTTACAAAGTGTCAGAATGCTTACAGTGGATGGGAATATGGGCAACCTGCACATGTCGCCACGTTAGGGGGCGCTGTCGGCATCGGAGTTCGTCCTCGAATCCCTAATGACATGATTAATTAGTAAAACATCACGTCCTTGATTTCAAATGGTAATCTCATGTCTGCAGACTAAGGACTATATATCAATTTTTTTCAATATCTTTTAATTTTTTTTATACATTATCCGAAAGCGTCTTACCAAGTTCGGAGCATGTAATGTTTCCGTGTGTCTCCACCCAGTTCGTGTTCGAGTAAAACATCTGTAGCGTAAACAAGTACTCCCCTATTAACTTCCGGACGTTGTTCCAGTCTGGTGTGGGGGACTGGGAAAGGACAACAATCTGTTCCCTCATCGACTGAAGAAGAAGGTTACCTGTTTGTAAAAATAATCATGGTAAGTTTTATAATTATAAATGAGATCTTTCAGTTTACTAGTACACAATAGCATTTTGAAGCATCATATAGCCTTCCAAATTGACCAAGTTTGGTAATATTTGGTGCGTTGTAAAACAGTACGTTCAAAAAACCACCTGTCATTTTTAATTACACATTATATGCACTGAAAATAAATACATAATTAGTGTTGAATGCAAATTAAAGATCTCAATAATAATCATTGTATGTTTCTTTGGTTGGATTGATAAAAGTTTGTTGATTGAAGGCTTAATTGGTGTTTTAATTCGTTGGCAAATAAATAATCACTATGGATATATATAGGTTTTTACTGGCGATCATACGGAAGAGGTTCCAGAGGTCAAACTTAAACATGTAAGTGTGCGGACTTTCCTGCTTATATTGTACTGTTGGGTTAGGGTTAGGGTAGTAAGTAGTAAGTGTGTGGTCAATCCCTGCTTATTGCTTGACAGAGTGTGTGGTCATCCCTGCTCTGTAATTAGCATCTCTTAGCAGCAAGTGTGCGGACATCCCTGCTTGTTGTTGCACAAGATCAGGTGTGTGGACATCCCTGCCTGCATCTTGTGGTAGAGCATTGGTGTGCGGATTTCCCTGCCAGTGTCTCTAGTCTAGAACCGTGTCTTAGTGTCAAGTGTGCGTTCATCCCTGCTTGTCACTGCGCAAGGATAGGTGTGCGGTTATCTCTACTTGTCTCTTGTGGAAGTGCGCTGGTGGACTTCCCTGCCATTGTCACTTGTTCGCTACCAGTAGAAACCTTATATACCCAGTACCAAGCGATGAAGACTGCGCATTGTACGTATTTGCAGCATCCCAGGGCTATCCGTTTCTATCACGGGTACGAGCCCGCGGGGGTTCACAGGCAGTGACCTCCCTTGCACGTTTCATAAAATTTGGTGGCAACGGTGGGATTCCTTGAGATAGCTGGACGATGGAAGACATAGACAAAGAACTTTCTCTGATAGAAGAGAAACTCGCAGAGCTGGAGGAGGAAATTATCAGGAGTAGAAGTTTCAAGTCGTCGACTCCAGTGACCCCGCGTATAAAAGTCAAAGCAAGAGACTCAGGTGTATCTCCGGAGTATTGCTAAAGACAGAAGAAAAGTCAACAACGCATGAGCATGATGGTGCGTTCGCCCAGCACGCACCTATCCTTGAAGAAAATTCTACAGCACAATCTCTCAGGAACATGTTAAGAGAAGCCAAAGCATGACCTCGCGATTATAGTCATACAGAGTCTCCTACAAGATTTGATAGAGAAACCGACAAACCTAGACTGAGACTTAGTCATGAAGAACTTTATAGAGACGATCCTGACGATTCTCTTCTCCCTGGGATAACAAGAAGGAGATCCAGAGTTAGATTTGCAAGTCTTCATAGCGGAGACTACGCGCTAAAAGAGTTTTCGACACCAAGACAAATGATAAAGCCAGCAACGTATGATGGCAGTGGTCCTTGGTTTGATTATCATGCGCATTTCGAGGCATGTGCAGAAATAAGTAGATGGAAATATCATCAGAAGCAGTATCTCTTCGGGGAAGTGCGCAAGGAGTGTTAGGTAACATGCCAAAATGGGCAAAGCCCGATTATTAGATACTTGTAAAAGCCCTTGAAGACAGATTTGCATCTCCGAGTCAAACGGAGCTACACAGGGTGCAGATGCATGAGCGACACCAAAGAGCTGGAGAATCTCTTCCTGAGTTATGGCAGGCCATTCGCAGACTGGTCAACTTAGCCTACCCCACTGCGTCAAATGAGATTCGGGAAACGCTGTCTAAAGACCAATTTGTGGACGCATTGGTCGACTCGGACATGCGCATCTGCATTAGACAGGCACGACCTAAACATCTTAATGACGCTATACAATTGGCTGTCGAATTACAAGCTTACAACAGAGCTGAGAAAAAGAACTATACGCGCCCAACTACTGTTGAATCAATGGAAGGAAGAACTGTCCCGATGCTTGAGGAATTAAGCGCAAAGTTTGAATCTATGCAGAGAGAACTCAAAGAAATAAAAGATCAGCGCAGTGAAAGTTCACAGCGATCCCGACCAAGAGAAGCAAACCAAACACTGGGGACACTGGAAGATGTTACTTTTGCCGTAAACCAGGACACTTGCGCAAGAACTGCAGAGCTTTTCGTGCGCAAAGGAAAGCTAAATATCCGTTTAAGTCAGCTACTACAGAACACCAAGAAAGTCATGATGCGAGAACCAAAGACGCCAAGCCTTCTAGTAGGAGCGTCAAAACTGGTGTGAAAGCATCCATAGAGCAAGTCCAGTCGGAATGGACGCTGGCCGATTCCTTGAAATGGACGTCTGTGGCGTAAAGGCGAAGCTATTGGTACACACAGGTGCGACGGTCAGCCTAATATTACAGAACTGATGAGTAAAATTCCAGAGGATGACCGACCTAGGCTTGACTCTTTCAGCCGAGACATACTGGATGCTGGTGGCAACTGTCTCCAGATAAGCGGTAAGGGAACCTTTCCAACACAGAAAAGGGGGTTCTCTTGCAAACTAGATGGTGTGGTTGCAGAAGTCAGCAATGACGGAATAATTGGCCTTGATTTTCTGGAAGAAAATGGATGCACAATTGATGTGACAAAGAAGATGATGTGCATCAAAGGAAAACAATACGATCTAATAAAAGAAGGAAGTTATGGGTGTTATCGCATCGTAGCGCTGAACACTTCCAACAAATCAAGAGGTAATCATAAAGGGGAGAGTGTGTGCACCGGAGGGCAAAAAGCATTTCGATGGTTCATGGTTTGGTGGAACCAAATGAAAAGTTCGTGTCGATAGGTACTCTTGTAGGGAGGACCTTAGTCAAAGCAGATAGAGTTGTACAAGTTCGAATGCTGAAATGAGACCAGAAAGTCGAACCATTTAAAGTGGCACTCACATTGTGGAAATATCATCCGTCTGCGCAGTACAGGCAGAGAGAAAGATAAAGAAGAACTCTGCATTGTATGAAAACCTTGAAGATTTATTAAGGCGCAGTAGTACCGACCTTACAGAGGACTAGATACCTAAAGTGAGAGACTTTTTGCGACAGTACCCCCATGCGTTTGCACTCAGTAACTCTGAGCTGGGTACGACAGACGTGGTTGAACATGGAATTGATTGATAAAGGAACCTTTGCGACGTGTCCCTTTCCATGCTGCCGAGGAAATAGACAAGCATGTAAATGACATGCTGGAAGATGGAGTTATAGAGCGCTCCTCTAGCCCCTGGGCAGCCGGTGTTGTCTTAGTCCGAAAGAAGGATGGCAGTACTCACTTCTGTGTTGACTACCGAAAATTGAATGGACTGACCATAAAAGACGCCTACCCATTGCCTCAAATTGATGATTCGCTACATAGCCTTTCGGGAAATGCGTGGTTTTCAACACTGGACTTATGTTTGGGATACTGGCAGGTATCCGTGAAAGAGGAAGACTGGCCATAGACAGCATTTGTTACGCACAAAGGCCTTTTCCAGTTCCGTAAGATGCCATTCGGACTCAGCTGCGCGCCGGCTACCTTCCAAAGGTAAATGGAGACCGTCATGGCTGGTCTTCAATGGGAAATTTGCCTGATTTATCTGGATGATGTGATTGTTGTTCGGACATTCGAAGATATATTGAAAACCTGGCGAAAGTTTTTGACCGCATTGTAGATGCCGGACTCAAATTGAAACCGAAGAAATGTGTCCTCTTTTCGCGCAGAGTACTTTACGTGGGCCATGTAATCAGGGAAGACGGAATCGCCACTGATCCAGAGAAAGTAGAAGCTATTAGAAATTGGCCAGAGCCCTGTAACGTATCTGAGGCGCGCTCGTTCCTAGGTATCTGTGGCTACTATAGGAGATTTATAGAGAACTTTGCCGAAAAAGCAAAACCTCTGACTAAACTGACAGAGAAAGTAAATGATCTAGTCTGGACACAAGAATGCCAAGATGCTTTCAACAGCCTTAAAACACATCTGTGTAATGCACCAATATTAGCCATGCCTGATTTTAAGCAACCATTTATCCTGGACACAGACGCCAGTAATTTCGCTATAGGAGCTGTTCTGTCCCAGTGCATAGAAGGAAAAGAACGTCCTATTGCATACGCCAGTCGAACTTTGACCAAAGCGGAGAGACAGTATTGTGTCACGAAGAAGGAACTTCTTGCAGTTGTGCACTTCTGTAAATACTTCAAACACTACCTATATGGTAAAAGATACACAGCGCGCACTGATCATGGATCAGTACGCTGGCTATTGAACTTCAAAAGTCCAGAGGGACAGATTGCGCGCTGCCTAGCTGGCTATTGAGGGTGCCTGACATGAAGATCGAGCATCGTCCGGGTACTCAACATCGGAACGCAGATGCGTTGAACCGCATACCCTGCAAACAATATGGGTTTACGGTAGATTGGCAGAAACAAAGCCCTAATGATGTTGTTGCACACGTTACCAAGGATGATCCAGGATCTTTACGCAGTCTACAAGAGGCTGATGCACAGATTAAGAAGGTAAAAGATTGAGTACTAGCCAGCAAACGTCCAGAGTTCTCCGAGATAAGTGGTGAGGGCAGAGTACTGAAATCTTTGTGGTCACAGTTTAATGAATAAGAAATATCAGAAGGTATTCTTTACCGAAGATGGGAAAGTTCGGAAAAGTCGAAGAAATTACAAGCCATACTCCCGATGTCTGAGAGACGGAGGTACTTGCGATGAACCACGACAACAAGTCCTCAGGGCACTTTGGACGGATAAGACAAAGATACAATTGGCCAGGGCTTCAGGAGGATGTGAGGGCATACATTGCGGGATGTGATAAGTGTAGCCGAAGTAAAACTCCACTGAGAAACAAGAGAGCGCCAATGAAGACTGCAATGTCTGGTGCTCCAATGGAGCGCATTGCCACTGACATCCTCGGCGAATTACCGGTGACAGAGAGAAGCGACAAAAGTTTGACAAATGCGACAAGGTGTATGTGTTTTTCCCAACAAGAAAAGATGGTACTTCATCGAAGCTGACCAGCTACTGGAGGGGCCCATTTGACCTTCTATACGAAGTAAACTATGGTAACCGTGGTAAGACACAAGTAATTCACGTGGATAGACTTCGACTACAAAATCCACAAGTTCTGTATGGGGAGACGGAGAAAGACGAAGATGCAGCTAGTACAGAGGATGTGCTTGTGGCGAAAGACGAAAATCAAGGTAATGAGAATCCCAGTCTTACTGAAGAGGAAGTTGAAAATAAACGTAAACGCCATCCTCCCCGCTGGTATGATGATAATGCTTTATAAGAAGCACCTAAGGCCAGCAAGCGAACCTGATTGGTTCTGTTTACCATTGGATTAAACAAAACATTGCATTTTGTTTTGTGCAATGGTAAATGTTGGTGGGTTGCATTGTTCTTGCTATTCTGTTGAGTAAAATATTCACATTTTATTTTGCAGAATGGTAAATACAATGACTATTTTTTTTGGGTGAATAGCGTTTCGGTTAATTAAAAAAAAAAGCCGTTGTATGTTTTTCGTATGCGAGGACGCATAAAGCTGGGGTGAGGTTATCCCTACTTTTCTCTTGTGGAAGTGCGCTGGTGTGTGGACTTCCCTGCCAGTGTCACTTGTTCGCTACCGGTAGAAACCTTATATACGCAGTACCAAGTGAATAAGACATATTTGCAGCATCTCAGGGCTATCCGTTTCTATCACGGATAAGAGCCCGCGGGGGTCCACAGGCAGTGACCTCCCTTGCACGTTACATTAAATTAATAACCAACATTATTTAAAATAATTACGCTAATCACCAACTTTCTAGTGTAATACCAAGGTACAATAATCTAATGTACCTTGACATCACAAGTTTTCAATTTAATGTGTAAGAAAAACGACACTGGATTATTAATTGCTAATTTATGCTGTCTTGTTGTTTGAGTGCTTTTCAGCACAGTGTTTACATACCTGCAAAAATGAGTTCCGCGTTCATGGTTCTCATGGGAATGTTGGCGTACATTTCCTGGGCCTTGTTGTTTCCCCATACTATGGTTTCCACCACCGTCCCAAACACGGCTTCTGAAGATCTATCTGTACAGGAAGACAATACAGGTATGTAGAAAGTCAAATAGGAGTTAGCAATACGTGCAAATAAATTGAAAACCATATCAACCCTACATAAAAAAAATCACTAGAGTTAATCAAGTTTTAGTTTTAGTAAACCAACGTATCAGTTTTTACTAAATTTGATCAGAGTTTTAATAGATCAAAGAACACGCTTTAAATAAATCGACGTATCAAAGTTTCCAGTATGGTTAATAAAGTTCAAAGTTTCAAAGCTTTCACTGAACCAATGCTTCCGATTACGTTTATCTCACAGTTTCATTTTTCACCCTAATCAATCATAGTATCAAAGTTTTCACCACAGTCAATCTTAGTTTTAACAATGGCAAATCCAAGTTTCAGAGATTTTACTTAACTTTCTTAATTTTTTTCATTATATTCAATAAAATTCTCAAATATTTACAATAGTGAATCAAAGTAGAAAAGTTTTCACCATAGAAAATAAAGTGAGAACTTTGATACTGTAATTTAAAACTATACAAGTAAACACTAGTTCCTATAGTTTTTTTGTAAGGGATCAACTTTATATATCTGATGAATGTCATAATATAAATGTATTTCACCTTTCAAATCTTTTGACTTAACAAGATTTTAGCATCTTATGGTCTATTGACCTTGACCTTTAACAGATGACTTTTGAATTGCGATTATGTTGCATCTTCACCTCATCAGAAATATAATCGATTTTCAATTCATCTTGGGTTCCAAATTACGAGTCGGACATGATTTAGCCATTTTATCTTTAAGTAGCTTTAATATTTGATATCTTATCGGCAAATAGCTTCACAAAGAATGTAATTTGTAAATATTCCAATTTGTAAAATCTGTTATTTTAAATGCTCTGTGAAATGGACATCAGCAGCCATTCATTCCTATCATAGGTGTCAGGGACGGCAGTCCTCTTGCTTAGTGACCTTGACCTTGTGTATGAGACGTGAGTTTAAGTAAACTGGATGACAAATGACATTTCCAACAACATGCCAAAGTTTGAATCCATTTCATTTAACGGGTTGTGTTATTTTGTGACCGACAGATAACCAATCCAAAACCTATATATACTTTCAGTTGGAGTATACATTGTTCATAATTATTCCCGTTATAAATATTTTTGAAAATGCCTTTTATTCAAAATCCAGTAAAGATATACATGTGTACGAAAGCAATTTGGAGACTTTCAGAAATCAAGAGATGGTAAAGAGATTCCAATATCAAACAAGTATGATACTGGCTTCTTTCGTAGTTTTGTATTGTAGTGCTATGAATGGTAATGGTTTGATAAAAAGAAATGATTTAGCATATAATAACTAAAGATAAATAATTTTAAAAAAATCAAAAATGAATCACATTTTCAAGTTTACAATTTTGTCCATCCTCCTTTTGTTCTTCAAAGTGTTAATTTAAAATAAATAAATGGATATAAATATGACTTACCACCTCTAAAGAATTCAATGGTAGCGTTAACAGCGCTTCTGGAGGTGTGCTTGGTTCCAGCATCAACATACTTCCATATAAAGGTCGCGGCGGATTGATACAGGGCGCGTTCAGTGATACTCTGGTGGCTGAAGTCTCCGTGTTTTGTACTCTCCTGGGTCGGCAGGAAGCTGAACGCAGACCGAACCACGAGCACCAGAAAAAGAACCGTCTTCATCGCCATTACACAGTGAGCTCGTGCCAAGGGACAGGAAATATTTGAATATCCACGTCGCCATAATGTTTAAATATATCCAATGGAAGATAAGGGTTTTTTGTACATTTGAAGTCAAATTTAGATTAAAGAGACATGTCTAAATGCAGCATTAAATGGTGACCGATATCGCAGGATCTGACATTGAATAAAGTAGGAACGACCAGAAAGTATTCGATCTCTCATTTATTTTCTTCCTTATCTCTGTTACCTTATGAAGAAATGTTTAACAAAAGTTCATGTATTCAAAAAGATGTAACTAATGCATGTTTAGATAGTATATCGAAGTGTCTGAATTGGCCTTTATTAACATGAATAAGAAAAGATCAATTTTTGAAAATTTGTATACCATCTCAAACAGACAGCCATTTACAAAACAGCCTTGAAATCATTGTATCGATACTTTTCTGCTGCTGGTACATAAATACACCACAAATATTTGGATACATGGGTTAAACTAATGACATGGGTTAAACTAATGAAGATTTTATTTAGAAGATTTTAATTTAATATATGTAGCATTTATTAATGTCGATATGGTACATAAAACCACTATATATATTTTTTAACAACTACTTATTAGAGTTTTTGCAATGCAAAAAAATGTTTAATATCTTATTGTACATCCATGTGGAAATTTTAACTCCTATTAGGAAACCGTCAATTAAACTTTCAACTTCGAAAACGAATTCTTATTAAAATTAGAATATTTATTCCAGGGGAATGCTTGCTGGGACAGTTCGAAATGTTTACACCGTCTCGCCGTTTTGATAAATTGGAGCAATTACATATGAAATATTAAATAAAGCAGCCAGTCCAGTTATTCCGATAATAGATTAACTTAATTTCTGGTAAAAAACTTACATCTGACTGTCAAAGTGTTCTGAGGCTAGGGAATGTATGCGTTGCTTCGAATAAAACATTTCTTCATGAAAGACTTGCTATCACTAAATGACGCAACTTGGAAAAAGCTTTTTTCTCAAGGTACCGACTGCTCTTTTTAACCTGATCCACCTCTGGTGGTCTTAGTGTCCCTGTTTGCTCTGCTCACAATCTCTTTTGCCTCATTGCACTTTTGAGCATGATCACCCTTCGTTATCATTCTGATTCCGTTTCAAATTGAAAAAAAAATTGTGTTACTTCGGCAAACCTTTATTTCTTCCTTACCAAAAACTTAAAAAACGGTATTACATCAGAGCAAACCACCGCTCCTCCAAAAAATGACAGTATAGCAATACCCATTGCGCCGAAGCATCTGGCACTGAGTCTTGTGTCATCCGCACTTACCTTGGTTCTTATCACAGAGGACAAGGTATAAGTCTTCACTTTCAGTTTTGATATTTTTTGTAGTTTTTCCTGCAGACTTTCGTTTGTCTTCCTGCATGTGCAGGTGCATATTGTAGAGTTATGAAGAGGTTTAACTTCAAAGATGTCCTCGGTGAGTAACGCTGTGTTCTGACTAGTAATAGGAGAGTCTTGGGTAGTAGTTTGGTGATTTGTTGTAAGCTGACTCGTTAATAAAGATATGTCTTCTGTAGAAGTTGAGTACTTTGATGTAAGTTGACTGGTTACAGAAGAAGAGCCTTCAGAAGTAGTTGTGTAGTTTTGTGTAAGTTGGCAGTTTGAATTATCAATGGAGGTCTGGCTAATGCATGGGTTAGGTATTGATGACGAGTGAAGTTGATTTTCTGAGTTTAACATGGAGCTTGTTGATTTGGCATCAACTGAATTAAGATCAATCTTTGTGTCAGGTGAAGTCAGTGTTGGACTTGGGGTTATTTCTTTCGTCTAAATAAGATTTTAATGCTTTAATACTGACCTGTCTCCAGTTCAAAAATTGAATGAATTGATATATTAATAGATCATTGTAGGCTACAAAAGAGTAAACAGCACATGGATTAACAACCGTATTATCGTGACCTTTCCAAGTGTTTGTGTTACTAATATCTACAACAAGTGTACTTTTCAATATTAATTTATATTTGATGTGATCCATGATTAACAACAACCTTACCGTGACCTTTCCAGGTATTTCTGTGGTAACTATTGGTGATGCTACAGGTATTTGACACAGTTCATCCTCAGTAAGTCCCCCCTGAAAGCTGTTGTACGAGGAATGATACAGCAGCCCTGGAAAATGTCATTACAAGTTTAACAAAAAATAATCTTGCGTAAACATAAAACAGATAAATATTCAGAAAATACTAAAACAGCAATGACATTATGACAGCTACACAGGATAGAGATCTTCAAATTTAATAAGGGTGTGAAACGTCTTAGATTTTTTTGAAAAAAATGCAATGAATTGGTCAGAAAAGTTTTTTTTTATTAGCTGTGTTAAAAAATACATGTCAAGTAGAAAACTTTAAAAAATTTTATATATTAAATCTGGCTAGAAGTCAAAAATTAAAATCCATGTTTTGAGAATTATGCGTTATGTTGAAATACTGTGAAATACTGCAGTAAACAGGTATGTGCTTTGTAAGAATAACATAAACTTCAAACATACTGCGTAACAGCACATTCTAGAAACGGGAGTAGATCAGATGATCTTAGGAAACTCCAAAGAACCTTTTAAAAAATTTAAGTTACCATATTTTCAAAATTTTACAGTAGCAGAACGTATGACTTTTCCAAACTTTATATAATACTTCCTTGAGATAAATTTTGAAATTTTTTTTTGTTATTTTAGACCACTTCTCTTCAGTTAAAAAGAAATGGAACTTGTAAATGCCCACACGTTGTGATGAATCATCTACAAAATTACATTGTGGAGGCTGGAGTTCCTCACTGACAAACTGTTGGAATTTTGAAGATCACTTATTGTGCTCCTTTCTATGCCTATCTCTTTATGTTCATACAAAGCATAATTTATCTGAAAGACTTATTTGTGAGAAGGAAAACAAATATGTCGTGGCCTTCAACAAAGATACAATGTGGGCTCCAATAAATGTTCAACCAAGCCTCTTTCTTTACTCCTCACTAAGATATTGACAGAAGTGAAGGAAAAACTTCAAGAGTACTGTACAACAATATATTCAAGAAGTGGCGTGAATCAGATGTGGATACTCAAAAATTCCAAAGAACACTTGGACAATTTAAAATCACAAGATTTTAGCAAAATCAACAGTTAAAAAACATGACTTTTCAACTTTATACACAACTATTCCCCTCGATGAATTAAAGTCCAGGCTTTTTGATATCATTGACAACTGCTTTTTCAATAAAAATGGAACTCGTAAATTTACTTATCTGGTCACTGGTCATTCGCAAAATTATTTTGTTAAAACACATTCTGATTGCACACACAAGTACTCTGAAGTTGACATCAAAAAGATGCTTGAGTTTCTGATTGACAATATCTATGTGGTTTTTGGAGACCAGGTCTTCAAACAATCTATTGGAATTCCCAAGGGTACCAACTGCGCTCCGTTATTAGCAGACTTATTTTTGTATTGATATAAAGCAGAATTTGTGCAAAATCTTATGCAAGAAAAGAGAAAAACACTTGTTGTGGCCTTCAATTCCACATTTAGATATATCGATGACATATTGTCAATTAACAATGGTTATTTCCATTAATATGACGATACGGTATATCCTGGTGAGCTTGAGATAAAAGATACCACAGAATCTGACACATCTGTTTTATACTTGGATATTTTACTTGAAAAAGACCTTTTGGTAATTTAACAACCAGGCTCTATGATAAACGTGATGACTTTAAATTTTCTATTGTCAACTTCTCTTACTTATGCAGCAATAAACCTTCATCACCTGCATACGGCGTATATATATATATATAACAGTTCATTCGATACGCAAGAGTATGCTCTACGTATGAACAATTCCCAAAACGAGGTAAATTATTGACAAACAAGTTAATGAAACAAGAATATCAGCAGTCTTGCTTAAAGTCATAGGTTCTTTGGTCGATACCATGACCATGTCAGCAAAAAACAATTTATCATTGAGTCAAATGTTGACTGACGTTTTTCATTCTTATTGTTAGTCCATTATTTATACCTGGATTGACGACGGATTTTGATATGATATGACGTTATTGTCTTCCATTTTATTAGATACTTAAGGCGTCTACTTACAAATTTCAAAGCGAGCAAGGATTCCGAGAGATATGTTGATGATATAGGAATTTCAAAAATGTCTGTTGAATTCAATTTTCGTAAATTTTATGCTTGTTAAATAACACGAATATAACTTTACACTGACTAGTATTCTGACTGACTTGTTTCATACCTATTGAAGACTTTGTTTTTATACTACTTTTGACACGGAATTCTCCGTCTCCTTGATCAATACTCAGGACTCACGGTGGGTGTGATCAATATTCAGGTCTCACGGCGGCTGTGATCAATACTCAGGACTCACGGCGGCTGTGATCAATACTCAGGACTCACGGCGGGTGTGATCGATACTCAGGACTCACGGCGGGTGTGATCGATACTCAGGACTCACGGCGGGTGTGATCAATACTCAGGACTCACGGTGGGTGTGATCAATACTCAGGACTCACGGCGGCTGTGATCGATCAGCAGGGGATACGTACTCCCTCTAGGCTCTGGAATTTACAGGGGACCATATTTTGCTCTGATTAAAGATATGTATCGTCTTTTTGAGATAGTTGACCGTTCTCTATCTTAACATTTTCCACACATGATTTAGCAAGATAGGATTAGTGGTAATAGTTATTTTATTGAACTGTCATCAAACGTTTATGTTGCAGTATCGATTTGCAAGCATGCGAAGTAAATAATAAAATTTGATGAATGAGATGTTTGAGATTTTTTAAGAATGTATTTTGCTGGTTGATTGTGATAAGTTAAAATATTACTGTCTTTTTGGATTTTTTGAAAATCAACCTAAGTATCGTGTAAAAGGGGCATATGAAGGATTTGAAATATGCATGGGGGGGAGGCAAAGTAGAGTAATGGTGGACAAGATTAAGTTGAAAAAGGAAATGTGTACATACTTCGATGGAACATATGCGTTGATTGTAAATCGGATGCTGCTAAAGTCCATGACATCTGACTTTTGTAGGTCAGCAATGTACACATTGTTTCTTTTGATACATAAATACCGGCACAACTCGAATCACTTAAACAAGAAGAGGCACATCCCGAGGAGGTGAGGGTACTTTTACTGTCGAATCCCATCTTCGATATTGCTGACATGGTTGTAAAACAGGAGTCGGAACCTAAAAGAAGTGTTGTAACTCAATAAGAATAACAGAATAAATATCCACACATTGTATTTCTATAAATATGTAACATGCAGCTGAATGACATCTTTGTATTTAGTTCATTAAGCATTTGAGAAAAAAAAAAATATATATATATATATAAATTAAACGTTTCTGACCAGACGGATGTTCACAAATGAACGCCATTGTTTTGTCTGCAGGACATGACGTCAGACTGAGAGAGTCCTTTGAAACATATCCGCATCCGGTTGATGATGGATAGTCTCTCAGTTTATCGAACTTCTTTGTGATTCCTGAGTCAATGGAACAATCTCCCCAATGGAACTCCTGTTTTCCTGATGGATTTACCTCCATCCTCAAGCCAACCCAATATTTACTTCAATAAAAAAATTGTTAACGCCAATGAAATATAAAATCTCCCTTTGTTGACCAGTGGTTACGGTTAACAATATGAGGAAAAGGCAACCTTCGAAAAAAGTTGACAATTCAAGAAAACTTATAGTGGGAAAGAAAAAAAATTACATCAGCGGAAACAAGAAAGGACACAAAACTGTATAAATAAAAAAAAAAAACAGCAAAAAAAACATTAAAAACATACCACCACTTATACGAGCCTGGTCTCGGATAAGTGAGTTTATTTCAGTAACCCTATGTCCATCCATTCCAGATATCTTAAGTCCTTTCAGATATATAATTATATTCACCCTAAGTCACAACCTATCATTCCGGATAATTTAGGTCCATTTGCATATATGGTCTAATATTTACTTGTTTCTTCCTCTTCCTTTCTCGATGAAGCGATAAAACGGTAAGGTCATGGAAAATTTTATGAAGTTGAATTGTTGCAATGTTTTAATTTTTGAGATGAAATCAGTTTGATTTTGAAGGTAACTACTAAGGTTTGTAATTTCAAGCCAAATTAGTCGTGCCGATGGTGTAATTTTACTTTGCATTTGGCCCGATTGGATTTGTGTTAAGATCTAACATCAACTGTATTGGTTGAATTTACACAATATGGTATAATTTAATGTATAGATAACAGGAATAATTAAACATATGAGATTTAAGGGATGGTTTAATGTAAGTAATTATTTTTCAGGAGTAAAACGTAAACAATCAACGATTACCTATTGTTGGGGGGGGGGGGGTCGAGCATAGAGATCTGAAGTCAGAAAATTATTCCGTTTTAAGTTTTATTTTCCGAAGATGTTATGAATCCTGAAGAAGGTACTTACACATTTTGCCAAAATTTAATAATAGTCTTCAAATTGCATTGACTTTTGAACATTCATGAGAATATTGCGTCACTTTCACTTCTGCATTAATCAAAGTACTGAAAGTATTGAAAGGTTGTTAGTGAATTTCATCATTGTTATGAGTTATTTACAGTTCGGTATCGTTTCATTTGTTTGCTGGTCTATTATTTTTTTTTAATAAATTGCATAAAGCCATACACTGAGAAAAAAAAAATAAAAGGTCTTAGGTTGGTATAAACTATTTTCCCTCTAAGAAAGGGGGGATGGGGTTTTGTAAATTATGATACTCAACGGTAAAACCATAGGAACTGTTGTTGTCCACCTGGTGATGACTGTATAAAGAAAGAACTTATAAAGTCAGAAATTGCAGATTTATTTTTAAGAATGAGCATTTTGTCTCAGGGTAAGCTGTCAAAGGCTCAAAGCACAACAAAGCTGTAGAAATTTGGCTTCATAAACTTTAGAGTAAAGCAGCAATACTCAATCATTCATATGCCTTAGACTAGCTGGATTCAGCCACAAGCAAGGAGAAATATTAGTACAAAGCATAAGTGTGATGCATATTGGGACAAAACAGTCATACTGAGAATAAAACGGGAAACATTTATCACTGACTTTTCCGAAAATAAAAGTCAACATTACAAAGAACTGCTATCATTACCTGCTTTCTAAGTTATATTTCTTAGAGTGCATTTCATCTGCCTGTTTTACAACAGTTGCCATTGATTGCAATTCCGCTCCTTTCGAAAGACTGGCCAGGGTCAAGCCACGCTGTTTACATGCCTGGTGTGCCTTGTCCCAAGAGAGTTTACTGGTGTGAAGCTCAAACCGACAAGATTCTCTGGAAACTGTAAAATGGGAATCAAATGAGATCTTATAGTTTCATTTTGTGTATTCTTAGTAGTAGCTGAACCTTGCATTTCAACAATAAGATTCAGGAGTAGAACAAATACAGACCTCCATAAAATATTGAAGGCGGGATAGGGTATCTTTAAGGAGTAAACATCCCCTACCGACCGTACACCTCCATCGTGTATTATCGGACCAAAAAATAACATGAAAAACCTCTGTCGGCATTTAATATTGTATTTGCTGATAGAACTTGTGAAATGATGACTTAAAACGAGACTGATGATATCCTTGTTTCATTAACTTGTTGGTTAATAGCTTGCTCTGATTTAGAATTTCAATCGTAGAACATATTTCAGGGTATCAGGGCATCAAATCACCTGGTAGACATATACTCCATCTAGTCTTACAAGGAATTCTTTAACAATACAGTATTTGATTATGTAAGACTTCTAACAGGGTTCGAAGTGAGGAAGGATAGTTCCTCACCAAATGTTGCTTCATGTGGGAATATTTAGCGTGTTCAATGTTAAATTCACTGTAAGCAAGAAACGTAAGTCATTTTCATTTTGTAACAACATAGCAATTTATTGGAAAAATGAATATGATATACAAATATATTCGTCTATGACATTTTCAAGTAAAATAGACATAATTTTGAATCGGATGTGAAAGAAGTACAACCTGTATAAATAAAAATATTCTGTTGTATTGATTCAGAAGAAATATTTCTGTACAACTGAATATACAGTATCATATAAGAAATCATTATTGTACAGGACGACAATAATTCAATTTTGCTTCAATCAAAGCTAATAAAAAGTTCATCCATAGCAAATATGAACAACAGAAGTTGATAAATGTTCTATTTTTCTGTCATTGAAATAGTTAATTACAAATTTGCAACATTTTTTCCCGATGTCAAACATGCAGCTCATATTGCTTTAAATTATTTTTTTTGGAACAGATCGGCTTTTGGCAGAACCAGATTTGCATTAATAATTTTTAGCTATGACCTTTGAAATTTTAATCATTATCTTCTTCATCTGTAAAAATTAAACATTATGAACATTTACATATATGGAATAAGTTAAGTTCACCATGAAAGGATTAGACCAGATGCTTTCAATAGAACAATGATTCAGAAAGATATGTTCTAATGATGCGTTTACTTACTTTCCAATATTTCCACGTCTTCGGCACCTATTCTCACAAAAAATGCTGATTTTAAAATCAATGAGAAAAGGAATGTTATCAATGACAACATAATACAGGATTAATAGACACTTTCCTTTGATACCAAAAGCATCCATGTAAATAGTAGAGGCTTTAAATTATAAACAGATTAAGAGAAATGTTCACATCGATTTAAAATTGGGATGTTTCGAAGGAGATAAAAGTTTTCATTGATCTAACATTGTTTGACCGAGGCATATTGAATTTAAAACATTGCTGTGACGTCATGCCTTTGTTCTTGCAGTCTTAATCATTGTTTTATTCAATAAAGGGGATAAATATAATTTTGAATGATTAAAATATTCTTTTTATTCAGAGCTATAACTGCGGTCAAACTTGAAAGGCGTTATTATAAGTAAGGTATAACTTCTTTAGAAATATGTGATGTATTATGTATTGGATTAATATATTTGTAACTCTGAAATAATAGTTATCTGATCTTCAAATTCAAAACTTTCCTCCTGGTATCATTTTTAAAAAGCGTTCAGATTTCATATTTTCATGATTTGTGACATTAAAATATAAATCAGAAGTTATAAAAAAGGCGGAATGCATAAACCTTTTAGCTATAGCATTTTAACTTTAAAAGTTTTGAAAAATCACAACATAGATTTTTCTACTCGTTTGAAACGTTTTAAATTAACAACCGATTTTTAAAAAGGGTATAATCCAAAGAACAATTTATAAAGCATACATAAAAAGCTAAAAAATACCAAATATTAAGTTCATTAAAAAAAGTTTTTCTAAAACACAGTCGTTAAAATTGGGATTCCGAAACATATTGTTACAACGTTACAAACCATGAAATAATATAAATGGAATCTCTCAAACTTTTTTAATTGATTGAAAATGACAGAAATACTGGTTTGTATATGGTCGTTTACCTTTCTAACACGATTGTTTATATTTCAAAACACATACTCCATCCTTATAAAGTGTTCAAGACTGAATCTATCTATATACTTTGGCCATCATCTGGTATATTCAGCGACAGTTTTCATAATGGCATTGAAGTTCTGTGATTAATTGAAAGATTGGGGTTGTCTGTATGAAAGACTAAATAGATAGCTTACGCCGGTCGACAGAGGATGCTTTCTCCTCCATGACATCTGATCCAATCAATGATAATTTTAGAGGTATGCGTTTGCTTTTCCCCCCAGGTTGTAATAATTGGATTTTTGAGCTTGATAATTGTTCATTGTCTTCATTTTTCATATTTACATTGTATTTATTTGTTTTAAAACATCATTTTTATTTATTCTACTTTGTCTTAAATGACTTTTTAGCGTATAGTTGTAAGAAAAAAGCGAATTTTAGATACTAGTACACCTAAGATTTTGTTTTAGATTCACAATATCTAGGTACTATAAGATTATTTCATTCTTAAGATTGCAAAAGAAACAATTATATAATATCTGTAAGATATGTGGGATGAACATTTCAAATTTATAATAACTTAATTTTTTTAAAATTAATTTGATTTAAGCTCACATCATCTATTCCTAATTCTTTTTTTCAGAATCAAAAATATTATATTCTAGTTCACATATGATGAACTAAAATTTAAGTGCAGGACAATATATATTACCGCAAAACTAGTCTCTTTTGAATTTTCAGAATCAAACTATGGACTAAGATTCTTCAGTAAAAATATCTGGAGATAACGAACAATATTTAATTTCAAAAGTGCATTAAACTTACAAAATAGGAAGGGAGCAAAAATGGACCTCCAAACATCAGAGATTGGATCAGGTGTAATTGAAAAATGATCATTCCCTGCTTATTGGTCACACCCGCTGTGTGCTTCCTGTCATAATCGGGAAAGAAAACGGAAAAATCGGTGGACAACTCGGTTTGTAAACAATAGCCTAACAATCAGTATGAAAAAGTTTAATCAGCATTTGACAAAATGATAAATTGCTTTGCTGACAAGGTCATTTTATCGACCATGGAACTTGCGAAATGGTGCTTTAATCGAAGCTGTTGTTATCTTGTTTCATGAACTTGTTTGTCAATAATTTACCTCGTTTTAGATATTGTTCATACGAAGAATATGCTCTTCCTTATCGAATGAACTGAGAGAAATAACCTCAGTATGCAGGTAACAAATGTTTATTGCTACATAATGTGGAATCATTTTAATTCGGGGGGGAGGGGGGTCAATGTTTGTGTATTAGGAAAATTTTGTTGGTTCGTGGAGACGTAATTTTGTGGGTAATTCGTATATTTAGAAAAATTCGGAGAATAAATATATACAAAATTATTGTTCGTGGGGATGTAAATTCGTGGATAAATGTGACCAAGGAAATATTTGTCCCCGAAGAACAATGATGATTCTACAGTAAGTAAAGGAAGTTGACGGTAGAAAAATTAAAGTCATCACGTTTATCATAAAGCATGGTTGATGGATAAAATTTCATTTTTTTAAAAAGTAAAATATCTAAATATGAAAACACATGGGTCAACCTCTGTGGTATCTTTTACTTCAAGGTCACCGGGATATGTCGACATAAAATGGGAATAACTTTTTTAATTGACAATGCGTCGACGATATATCTGAATGGCGAGTTGAAGGTCACAACAAGGTTTTTTTTTAAAACAAATTGTTCTTCATATGAATACAGGAATAGGTCTGCTAATAACAGGGCGCAATTGGTAGTCATAGGAATTCCAAATGAGTGTTGGAAGACCTATCTCCAAAAACCACATAGATACAGTATTATCAATCAGAGCCTCAATCTTCTTTTTGACATCAACTTTTAAGCAAGTAATTTTGCAAATGACCAACGATAAGTAAATTTACGAGTTCCATTTAAAAAACAAAAGCAGTTGTCAATGATGTCAGAGAGCCTGGATTTAAATCGTTGGGAATGGTCCATTTAAGAATATCAAGAAAAAAGAGTGAAGTTAAATGCAATTTAAAAAAAAAATTAACTGTTTATTTGAGCAAGCCAAATTGAGTCCAAACAGACATAAGATATATTTAGCCTATAGTATGATTGCTATCTATGACAAAACCTATGTTTAAGTGTTTTCAAAAAAAGGTCCATAACATTCACGCTGGCGAAGTGCAGGCTGGACAGATTCCTTTAATAATTGCAATAATTATATTCAGTGCCATTTTCCCTGTTAAGTATTCTTATTGGGTCTAGAGAATGCTGGTTTTCACTGCATTTAACCTTGCGACAAAGGAAATAGTTTAAGGACTTTTTTCATATTTAGCTATTTTCTTTGAGAAATTCCCATTTGTACATTTTTCCCTCTCTTTTTTTCAAATATGTACAAAACAACAACAATATAAAAGTTGGATTTAACCTTATTTAAGGTTTTAAGAAATGATTAGGTGTTATATGGGTTTGAACAAGCAAAGAATGTGCATTTAAAAAAAAAAATATTTTTTTGAACTATCGACCGTCTTGCAAGGACAATACAACTATCTAATAAGCCCCGTTGAAACGTTTTTAAAAGTTGACTTTTAATGCTGAATGTCTATAATGTTCTAAAATGTCTTATTCTTTCTTGATATTAGCGTTATTATAAAGTTTAAAGTTTCTGTGTAATGCACAATTTTTCTGTGTAAACGCGCGATGATCATCATCAAAGAACTTAAATACAAATTGTGAAAATAGCCAATAAGAGCTCTTAAAACTAAGTTTTGATCTATAAAAGCGCCGACTTGTATCCTTGTCGATAGCTCATGGCCTTTTATAGTGTTCCTTGAGTTCGAACGATTCTAAAAAGATAAAGGCTTCTGTCAACATCTACCTAAACTCTAAATGGTCTACACAACACCTGTCTGCTCGATTTTGATAAATATTTATATTTTATTGATAATTAAAACAACATTGCTTAAAATTGATACAATTTAATATTTAGAAAATATATTACCTAATCAAAAGGTAGTTTCTTCAGAAAGCACTTTTCGATTCGAACTTCTGAATAAATTCATAAATCGCAGAGAATCGCAACAAATGATCACTGCAGCACACAGGAAAAGTACAACAAGGCCGAAACTCCCTACATATCTGACACTTGGTCTTGGATCATCAGCAGAAACTTTTCTCCGCAACACAGATGATAAAGAAGCGGTATCTAACTTCAGGTTTAAAGAAATCTTTTTGAGCTTTTCCTGCAGATTTTCTGTGGTTTCCTTGCAAATACAGAAACATATCGAGGAATTGAAAAGTGGCATATCTTCCTTAGCATTTAGGTAACCTGTTGTAACATTTTGACTAGAATTGACTACACTGATCATACTGGAATCGTTATCTGAGTTCATTATACTATCAGTGCTTGACGTGTATAGTAGCGAAGTACTGTAAAAAGTATTCAGTGGGCCATTATCATCCAAAGTTGAATCTGCGACAGTTTGAGTATGTGGAATGTCTGTAATAGAAAGTGTGGCAATATTATCGATGGTTGAAATATGTAATAGTAAAGTATTGTTAGAGGTACCAAATATTCCATTATCATCAGGAGCTTTAACTTCGATAGTTTGAGTGTATGGGTTTATTTTGGCAGCAAGAGTGGTAAATTCGGTGTCTTCTGAATGCACAGTGAATAGAGTAACTTCCGAAGTGTTCAGAGTAGATGCATTGTTGTCGAATACTACACTTAATGCAGAAGAATTATTAACTGTACTTGACTGGTTGTTCAAGTTCATTATCATATTTAACGAATCAGTAGCTAGATTATCAACCTGGCTTGTTTGTGCTGCACCTTGTTCTTCAGAAGTGGATAATGTTCGGAGTTGGGCTATACAATCCAAAGAGGAATTTGAACAACTGTCACTTGCTGTTTCAAGATGGGTATCTGTTTCTCTTGTGTTCAATGCTGGCGTTGGATTTATTTGACCAGTCTGAAAACAAATAACGGATTTCACAATATTATAATCTTCAAAAAACTAACAAATGAATTGTTTCTAAAGCAGAAAAGAATAGCCGGCTACATCGATCTTGACCCCACCCTGAACATCTGTTTTCCCTTATATTTACTTCATTCTACTGTGATATCCCCTAGTTTCTTTTAACGAGGCCGAGTCTAATTCGAGTGCGCATGGCTTTGCAGCTTTTTTTATGCAGCTATAAGTGCGACAGCACACCTTTCCAAAAAATTGTGATTTTCATATAAAATTAACTTTATCTGTAACACCTACAGGTCTGAAAATGTGATATTAAGACAATAATTAGGGAAAAAACGTTGATATGGCTCTAACGACGTTCATTGTTTTTCGATTTTGTAAGCAATGCACGACGCTGAAGAATGACACATGACTCGCTTATATGTTCGTAGACGTCCATGGATATTATACTAAATTATCTGCGCTGATAATTCATTTTCACCAATATGTATTTATACCGCAATATGGCAATTTTAGAGGTATTATTCATCGAAAAAATAAACTTTGTAATTAAGACCTAGATCAACCTAGATGGTAAACTTTTTTGAAATTTCACAGTTTGATGACTTTGTACAATAACATTCATATACTTGACCGAAAAATATATCTCTAGAGCAGAAATACAAAAAATATGGAAAAAATGTGATAATTTGGTGCTTTTCCAACAAATTCCCATATGGTCCAATCGTAAAATTTGACAACTTTTGAGATTACCCCCTAAGAAATTGGTCTGGTAAACTTTCGATTTTTTAATCTTAAAACAATAAATATAACAGTAAAAATTAACCAAAGAAAAAATTATCAGGGGTAGACTTTACCTTACCGGTCCCCAGATCCGCAAGATCCTCGCGCTCGTTGGACTATGACGTAACAACTACGTCACTCAACTGAAATGGGTTAAATTAGCACACTATTCGATTTATTAGGTTTAGTCTTGCACCCGCCTGAGAGAATAGGGTTAGTCCTTGCACTAGTATTCGACTGATTAGAGTTAGTCTCGCATTCATCCGAGAGATTAGGGTTAGTCCTCGCACATTATTCGACTGATTAGGGTTAGTTTAGCATCTGTCCGGGATATTTCGTCTAAACGTCTTAGTCCTTGCATACCATCAGATGGATTAGGGTTAGTGACTCGTTCTTTTAGATAAATTAAGAATTTTAGTTGTTTCTTTACTTTCTCTTAGATCATAATTCAGCTTCATTTGTTTAGGTGGAAGAATGGCTAAGTCCGAAAGAAATGGCACTAAGCATGCGCCGCACGCTCTTCGATCAGAACTATTCTTTGTCGATTTTTTCCATGAATAAACAATATTTATTATTTTTTTCAGAGAACAGGGTTAAAAGCTACGTTTAAAAACAACATTTGAAACTTAACTTTTACCGTAGAATTCGATTTTGGGGTCAAAAGGCCGAAAAACCTCGTATTTTATTTTTTTCCGGTCGCTCACGCGATCTCAAATATACTGAAGTTGCCTTCGGCAACACTACATTTTAGCGCGTTTTTCTGGGGACCAGTAAAGTGAAGTCGTTCCATTATCAAAATCCCTAGAGTAGAAATAATTAGACTCGGCCTCATTAAGACATTGATTTCTATCAACTTCTTATTGTGACCTCTCCTGGTCATTTCATGTCTATGATATCTTCTAGTGATTTTTACAATCAAATAAAATACAGAACAGAGTCTGTCACAACTGTTTCATGTTTGGATGTTTTACTGACTATAGACGATACTGTATGATAAACGAGACAGCTTCAGCTGTACCATCGCCAACTTTCCTTACTCAGGGAGTTTGTTAGCTCCGATCAAACGGTTCTTGGATATTTGCCTTCGTAGTTCAATTGAAAAGCAATTGAATAGTAATACAGGGGTCCTGGGATCGATTCCCGATCTAGCTTCATATTTTTTATGCAATCCTCATCTCATGGCCAGTGTGGGGGAAGGCAGGGGGGCTTTTGTCGGCATATATATGTACATGACAGGGTTCATGATTTTTTTTCTACGAGGTCGAAGTATTTTTAAACAGGAATGAATAATGTCCGTTATCTCCATGTTTCATGTAGGGCTAAATGGCCCGAGGGTAACAGAGGGTAGCTCCATGGTTTAGCATCATACCAGTAATACAGGGATCTCGGTATCGATCTCTGGTCCAGTCATTCCTACTTTCAAATACTCTCATAATGATATTCCGCTATCACCTGCATATGGTGTTAACGTCCCTCAACTGAGCTCCGAGAACGATCAATTTTGTTATTGGAACATGCTACTGACAGGAAAGTTGATTAAACTGGTAATTCAAGAACATTGTTTGATTCTGTGGTTCTTATATTGACCTTGTTAGCAAATATAACCCACCATTGGGTCGTATTTTGGTTGCCTTGCTTCATATCAATTGTAAAATCTTTATTTTGTTTTTACTGAATATGACAAAAGAAAAAGCCGTCTACACGATCAGTATCAAAAGATCATGGCGGGCGTAACTGATCAACAGGGGATACTTACTCCTCCTTGTCACCTTATCCCACCTATTAGATTTCCAGAGGTTCGTGCTTGTGCCCTCTTCACAAATTTGTAATGTTCATAGATTTTTTCAAATTCGGTCACACTTCTTTTTTCCTCACCTTTTACTATTTCTTCTCGTGACCTCTCGTTTTTTTAATGTCACTGATATCTACAACCGTCTCACTCTTCCTCTCATGTTTTTTTCAGGTCACTTTTGTCTACCACGTCTTACAGTAAACTCACCTTATATTCCCCAAAAAACTGATATCTGTTACAAGTCACCTCTTTTATGAATGTTCCTTGTATATACCATGTTATTGAAATATTTCAATGTCTTACGTTAAATTTCTTTATTCTCTCTCCATGTTACTGATTTATGCAACCCTGTAGTCTTACCGTCATGTCTCCTAGTATTCATCATGTCGTCGACATGTATCATAGTCTTACCGTGATCTCCCCCGGTATTTGTGTTGTCACTATTGGTGATGCTATAGGAATGAGACACAATTCATTTTCTGTCAATCCTTCTTGAAATTGGTAGTATGATGATTGATAAAGAAGCCCTGAAAGTGTTAATTTTATGTGTAATACCAAGGAAAGGCAATGAAGTAAGTTAAAGAATATTTTAAATGAGGTGTAAAATAAAACAAAATCCAGTTGAAGAGCCAAAAGTAATGAGTTTTAAAGACCGTTTAACGTGAATTTTAATTTGCTTGTTTTTTGTACCTTTATGGAAGATATGCGTTGATTGTAAATCGGATGCTGCTAAACTCCATGACATCTGACTTTTGTAGGTCAGCAATGTACACTCTGTTTCCCTAGATACATATATACCGGCACAACTCGAATCACTTAGACAAGAAGAGGCGCACAACGATGATGCCAGAACACAAGTACTGTCGTATCCCATGGAGGGTATTGTTGATAGCGTCGTAAAACAGGGACCAGACCCTTAAATAGAAATGGTGAATGAATGAAAACTTGACTCTTACATACTGTAGAATCAGTAGAATTCGTGGTGGTTAATTCCTGTGGTATTTGGAGGAACCGTCTTCCAATAGGTCTTGTCTTCAACGAATTAAGTTCTTCAAAATATATATGAACCTTTTATATGAAAGGTACACGACACAATAGGAAACAACTGTATAAATGTTCATGAAACTATGAACAGGTAACTACATGTCTGGGTTTTAGAACTTGGACTTTCTTTTAGAACGCTGTAAAATTAAATATGTCCTCTCTTACAGCTTCAGACATTTTGTTTTTATAATGTTGTTCGAGATACTATCGCCATTTTATTTACTTGCTACTAGAATATTGTCATTAAACCAATTAGCATGTATTATTTAATCGTAATTTACAGTTTCAAATCGTTACTAAGCAACAGAAACAAATAAAGTATATGTCGTTTTAGTATTTAAAAATGGAACAGTCTGTACGATGGCCAGCAAAGCAACGAAGGCTTTTATCACTATAAATCAGAGTAATGAAATTCAAATATTGCACCTTATTGGAAAGAGAACTGTTTCAAAACAAAAATAAATTTCTTAGAGTTGATTTTCATTTTGGAGACGTGAATGAGTTTAAGAAATGACGTCCCTAGAATTATGCAAAATGTATGCTATCCATGAATTGTCATTATTCTATAGTAGAAATTCCCACGCTTTTACTTTACTTTTCTTCTTAAAAGTAAACCAGCCTTATTTAACAAACACTTACAGAGACGAAGATAGATATTCATCAAAGTATTAAGTACCAGAAACAATAAAGTCATAAAAAATTATCTTACCAGAAGGAAGTTCACATATAAAACCCATCGCTTGGTTTGTATAACAATGCGTTAATAGTAAAGAATTCAGATAAATAAAGCCACAGGCGGTGGTAAACATGTCGTAGTTCAGGGTACTAAAACGTCTAGTAATGGAAGGATCAATCGTGCAATCTCCCCAGTGGAACTGCTGGCTCCCTATACCCATCCTCAGTCCAACCCAGTATCTACTGAAATGACACATATCTTTATAGGTCATCAAATATAATTTATCATTAGAGTCAAATGCTACTGACGTTTTTCATACCAATTTAAAGACTGAATTGAGGACAGATTTTTTCCGTTATTTCCCGATCATGACAAAGAGCAATCGGCGGTTTTGACCGGTCGGCAGGGGATGCTCACTCCTCCATGGCATGGCACCTGATCCCACCGCCGATGTTTTGGACGTCCGTGTTTGCTTTGCTCCTATTTTGAATTGTTTTATGGACTTTTGATCTTGAATACTGTTCGTTTTCTTCATTGCACTTTTGCATCTTGAGTTTATTTACATATATTCCAGAAAATTAAAAGATCCTTATTGTCCTTTAAGAGGCAGAATATTTATACTAATAATTTTCAACTAAAGCAATGTACTGTTTTAAAATGTGTGCCAAATCCGGACATAACGCTGATCTTACTTGAGAGCTGATCGCCATAACAAAGTCAATGGACCAAAAAGGAATGAATAACAGACATTAAATTCTATTTTAAGCAGAACAATTGTACATAATATCTAATCTTTTTTTAAAACAAATTTCTCACTGCATTGAATTTTTCCCTAAAGTACAGCGGTACATGTACAACATCGAAATAATCCATGTCTTATTAATGTAAATAATTCGAGAGACGGGTTTAAGTGCCAAAAAAGTTAAATTGCCTTCTGCCATCATAAGTTACTCAAAAAGTGCAAATTGTACACATTTTAAGAGATGCTCACTCATCCATGGCACCTTATCTCACCTCTGATGTTTTGAAGCTCCGTGTTTACTCTGTTCCTATTCATATTGTTTATTGGATTTTGAGCTTCAATACTGTTCATCAACTACATACATTTACTGTAATTGGCAATTAAAACATTTCATTGATAATAAAAAAGATATACAAGTTATTTACAGTATAATGAATGCAAGCACATGTATAAGAAATCACATTTAAATTATCATTCATCATGCTCTGTTTTGAAGGGGTGGGATGTCTGTTTATAAAAATTGTTAGGCTTTCTATATCTGTTTTTGAACACACCCAAACATAATAGTTATGTATTAATTTTCTAAAGTAATGGTAATGTAATACATTACTATAAGAACTTAATTTTAACTCCAAATGCAAACTGTGATCGGTTCCGTTTAAGTACTAATATTCGCATTAATTTACATCTTTGTTTTTTTATTTTTATTTTTTCCCAAGGATTATGATTGGCTCATGTTAGGCAAATTCAAAAATTAATTCAGGGAAATCGATACAAAGTATTTGTATCAATACTCTCGTTAGATCTGAACAAGGGGGTGCTAATTGATTAAGATAATAATTTATCAAATCGATTCAGAATCTAAAGCATCCGATTAGAAGAAAATACATACATTTATTCATCTGTTGGTTTTTTTCTCATTTCAATTTCAAATATGACTGCCCTAGACCAAAGGTTTTAGATATCTAATCAAAAATTTCTACCCATTCCCAATGACATAAAACGTTCACTTCCGTGTTTGTTTTCCTGTTTTGTTTTGTTTGTCGGATTTCTATAGGCTTGAATACTTCGCATGCTGTACAAATATTTCTTTCAGAAAAAAATATATCTTATACAGATAATATAACATTAAAACGCCAAATCATTTTATATTTTCCAAGGAATAACCCACAAAATAATGTTCAAAAATGAAACATATTTGTTCGTTTTGCTGCTATGAGTATCATACAAATTAAGAATAACTCTATTATTGACGAAAAAATATACTTAAAATGATTTTTAAAAAAAGAAATATGAATAATAATCGATAATAAGCTATCAATAATTAGTATAATTATGATATTTTTATTTTCATTGGTTACCTGGTCTCCAGGCTATTTTGCTGAGAATGCATTTGATTGGCTTGTAACATAACAGTGGAGAGAGACAACAATTCTAATTCGTCCGACAGACTGGCCAATGTCATGCCGCGTTGTTTACATGCCTGGTAGGCTTCGTCCCAGGAAAGACTGCTGGTGTGGAGCTCAAAACGACAAGATTCCTTAGAAAATGAAAAAAATACATCGTATTGTACATGTATATTCATTGAAATACTGTAAAAGTATCAAAAACGCCTCAATATTCAAAATATGTCATAACTCTTCAATCATCAACTTCCGTTATTTACGAGGCAATATATCTTCATCACCCGCAAACGGAGTTTATATCTCACAATTGATTCGATACGCAAGAGCATGCTCTACATATGAAAAATTTCTAAAACGAGGTAAATTATTAACAAACAAATTGATGAAACAAGAATATCAGCAGTTTCGTTTGAAGTCATCATTTCCTGAGTTCTATGGTCGATACAATGACATTGTCAGCAAATACAATTTATCATTGAGTCAAATGCTGACGGACGTTTTTTTATTTTAATTGTTAGTCCATTATTCATACACCGAATTGACGATGGATTTTTCCGTTATATCCCGATAATGACAAGGAGCAAACTACGGGTGTGACCTGTCAGAAGGGGGTGCTCACTCCTTCATGGCACCTGATCCCACCTCTGATGTTTTGGAAATCCGCGTATGATCTATTTTGTATTGTTTTATGGACTTTTGAGCTCGAATGCCGCTCGTTGTATCAATATATTTAATAAAGACTTCTGTAGAATTATATCATTCGATCTGTAAAATATTACGTATATCTTTAGGTAAAAATATGGTTATGCCCCTCCATATTATATTCAGAAGGTAAAATTGTCAAAACGTGTCAAAGAGGCACTTTGGTATCTTACTGATTAATAAGTCACAGGCTCTAAAGGAGCCCGTTGAATAGTTCATTTACCTTGTCATTGGTCGATTGCAATATTATTTCGTTAAAACACATTTTGATTGTACACACTCTGAAGATGATATTAAAAAGAAGCTTTTGCTTTACCATTTCAAATACCATTACCCAAAGCCTGGAATCAGAATTTCTCTAAAATCGTGTACGTAAACAGAACAAAATACACTTGCTGTGGCCTTAAATTCGAAATTTAGAAATATCGACGACGTATTGTCAATTGACAAAGGTATTCTTATGTCGACACGATATATCCCGTTGAGCATGAAATAAAAAAAATACAAGAGAGTCTGACAAAGTTGTTTTATATTAGATATATCACGAGAAAAATATGTTAATGGTCATTTAACAACCAAGTTTTATGATAAACGTAATGGCTTCAACTTTTTAATCATTAACTTTCCTTTCTTTTGCAGCAATATACCTTAGTCACCTGCAAACGGCGTTTACACCACTCATTCCGCAAACACGATCATGCTCTATGTATAAACAATTTCCGAAATAAAGTTATTTAAGGAATAAATCTAATTCTTGGGAAAATTATTCGATGTAACCTGGTTAGGGTCAGTTTACGCTTTGTAATCCGCGAAGCGGATTATAAGCAAAAGCGTAAACTGACCCAAACCAGGTCATACTTAAATAATTTGGCCAAGAATTAGAGTCATACCTTATAATTCTATTTAAAAATAGTTACACAAATGTAGATGTAAAATTGTGCTGCTTTTTATGAGTTCAAATTTGCCGCTCAATAATACAACCGTAGTAATGGAAGTGATGGAAAGCGAGGGGAGGTAATAAATAATACATAGACCTAGCAGCCATGATGTTTGCTTACATGAGGTAAGATCGAGCTGCTGTTTGAAGTTAAAGTTACATTTATTAAATCTGGAATTTTCTATGAATCCCGAGGACTTGAAATGAGGGGATTGCATGGATACAGATGATTCAGCTGGTTGTCAAGGGGGTGTGTCCCCATACCAAACCAGATTACACAGAATAATTTGCGTTCCTTTTTGGAAATCAACCAATGAGAGGCTAAAATACAAACAAAATTAAATTATTTATTGATAAACCCATTGATGAAACAAGAATATCAACAAACGCGTTTAAAGTCATCATTTCGTAAGTTCTATGGTCGATAAAATGGCATGGTAAGCAAATACAGTCTATCAAGAAGAACAAAAACCCAGGCATTTAAAAAAAAATTGTTTGGCGATTATTTACAAACTGAATTGTCGACCGATATTTCCGCTATTTCCGGTCATGACAAGGAGCACACTGCGGCCGCAGGTCAACCGGTCGGCAGGGGATGCTCACTCCTCCATGGCACCCGATTCCATCTTTCATCTCTTAGAGGTCCGAGTTTACTGTGCTCCTGATTTGTATTGTTGAATGGGTTATTGAGCTTCAATATTGTTTGTTATCTGCAGATATTTCATGAACAATGATAAGGTGTCAATGGCTTAAACATTCTGGTGAGGAAATTTTATGAATCAATAGAGATAAATATTTATGAAGTAGTTTTAAAAATATTTTTATCAAATGGTTTTAGAGAAATCTCGAGTGCATAATCGGACGATGTCAAATGCCTCTATCTTAAAGTCAAGGTATGTTTAAGAACTAGATGTAAGCATTCTTTTGTTATTTGAATCATAAAACAAAATCGATTGATGAAGAGAAAATGGAATTTTAAGAATGGATAAAATGAGATATCGCCACTTAATACCTACTTCAAAGGAATATTTGTGAAAACATTTCAGAGATCTGACTTTCACAAAATTTTAATCTTTACTTGTGCATTTAATATCAATCTATTAGTCTAGATAGGTCAGGATTTTGATTTCTGTCAATCAAATATTATTTTTATTAATCACCTAAAAACAATAATTAATTAGATGCTTATATAAGACATTCCTTTTTATGGTTATTTTCTTACAATTTGTCGAAGATAACTAGTCTAGTTCATACTTTTAATTTCAACAATCAAATTATATCACAATGATATGGTCTAATATTCTGTTACGTACTTGAAAAACCTTCATCTA